GCACTATCTCATTCCCAATGCGCGACCCTCATACCAAACATTTCTGGTGGGACGTTCGCCAAATCCGATCATGGACCAGCTTTAACTTGAGTACAATACTCTCCCTTCCCGGAGCATCTGGCCTCCTGAACTGTCCAGTCCCGCAGCCGCTTCTCCAGCAGCCCCCCACTGGTGCACGCCACCCCGAGACAGAGGCCGCACTCCATGCAATCTACGCCTCTTACTACATCCCTAAGCTTAACTCGGCTCTTGGGCTTTCTTCTCAGCGACCTGTCCAGCTCTCTGTTCCTTCGACCAAGGCTACCACAACTTCATCTAATGACCACGTCTTCGTGGCTAACATTGCTGGCGAGTCTTCGACCGCAGCAGCAATCTTCGGTGGCAAGCCTACAGCCCGTGTGGTTGGACTAGTTAAATCTTTCGACCGTTTTAACACGGGTATGCGTGTTGAAGGCAACATTAAGCGCGTCGAGTACCTACGAGGCCTAGCCCACTTACACCATGTGATGCGCGAGCACGGTACACGTTACGGTTTTATCCTAACTGAAATCGAGCTCGTTGTCTGCCGCAACGGTGCTGAGGGTACCCCGCATTTTGGCTACCTCGAAGTCAGTAGTGTCCAGCTTGCTGCGACGGCCGACTCGGTTTCTGATGAGAGTGATGAGATACCCCTAACAGCTTGTCTTGCACTCTGGGGTCTGTGCATCATGGCTAGTGACGATGGCGTCAATTCCCATGGCCTAGGTCTTAACGGTCAAGTCGCCTGGAAGGCAGAAATAGGAGCTCCTGCTGAGGGGACGAGAAGAAAAGCGCTTCCAAGAGATGACTGGATGCCCCAACCGCAGCTCGCGGAGAAGCGCGAAGCGAAACGCGCCAGGGGGTGGGTCTTCCCAGAGGAGCCCGTAGGCAGGAAGGAGCTCGGAAAGAGAGGTGTCCGGTATGGAGGCTGTTAATTAATTATTATTTAGTTCTAGTTCTTTGGGGTGAGCAGGTTTGGCTGGCTCCAATCCTTGCTCGTTGGATCTTGTATCTTGTGGAAGCAGTGTTTTAAGCGGATGAGAAATGAGGCATGATTGACGAACACTGGCTTTATGCAGGGGATTGGGGCTACTTGGTTGGTTGGATTACCAACCCCGGATATCAAGGGATAAAGCATTAGTTACTTCTAATACTGAAGCAAATCAGTTAAATTATCCGTCTAAGATCCAAAGTATAATGACTAGTTGATGGTTTAGACAATAAGCTAATAGAGTATTGGCAAATGTGAGGAATTGGCTTTAGTTCATAGGCGAAGCGTATCCGCCCCTTTCTGTCTGGTTGAGGTCTCTCCTAGCCGGTTTCTTGGGGGCTGTCGAGACCAGAATTAGGGACGTAATATAACACAGAGTGTTTGGACGAGTCTACAGACAATCCCAAAGTTACCCTGGTCCTACAGCCCAAACGCTAACTTAATATAGTAAGATACGGGCCACAACTAATTCATTAGATTTGATTGGTTAAATTTAAGAGTCCCACACTCGACTAATCTAACGATTCAATTCAACTCATTCAGTTATTAAAATATAAAAAATTTATCAACGAAATAATCACGAAACAGGGGGTAATTAGCCAGGACCGAATGATTGCATGTGTATGAGTATAAGTATAAGTATGTGTGGTGCGAAGTGCGAATAGCTTCACGTATTTGGTTATCTAATCTGCTATCTACCTATCAGCACGTGACCTGGTCTGTGTAATCCGTTGTACGTACTTTGAATTTTTTTTAAAAAAAAAATAAAAAAAAAATAATTAATTTCGAATTAATCTATAATCGATCCTTAATTGATTACTAATCAATTAAAAATCAATTATTTTATTTTATTTTGAAAGTTGAGCCCAAAAGGCGCTAGAGCGAATCCGGACAGTAGACTTTACCATTTTGGGTTAGCGTTTGGGCTGTAGGACCGGGGCAACTTTGGGATTGTCAGAGTACTCGTGTTTGGACAAGTTAATATGGTAAGTAATCAACTCTCCTATATTTTATTAGTACTGCCACAATTTTTTTGGCCAATCAGATCCTTAGAATCGCCCCGCAGTCGGCGACTTTTCCCTTTGCCATTCTATCGCATAAGGTCTGAAACACATGCAAATAGGATAGAAAGGTCATGCAAAACGCGCTCTATCCAACGATACCAATTATCGAAAGTTTTATACAATAGTATAGTAGGTCAATTGATTTTACAAAAAATTCATCGGACGTGCCCTGAGGTGTAGCTAGCCAATCAGAGGCCAGACTTATATGTGGCGTAAAAGGCACTCTTGAAGCTAGGCACTCCCCGTAAGCGCTTGCGCGAACGGGTAACGCAGCTAGTGTACTACTACACTCTAATCATTCAAGAAAGACATATTGGTTGGCAGTTCTCCAACGAAAGCAACTATCAATTCTAATAAGTCAGCTATAAGAGGTAGGTACTCTTAACATGACAGAACATACACTTCGGTATAATAATCGTACTTATCATGATACCTTCCACATAGCACCTTCTAAGAATATATGCGGAAATACATACTAACCTAGACTCACTCATACTCCAAATAAAGAAGGTAAACAAAAAGAGTATTAACGGCCCCGCCTAATGAAGTGCAAAACTGCAGCTGCAGTTTATATACGAGTGGGATTTGGTATCCATTCACCGGTATAGACATATATTACTTTATATTACCCGGCATGTTCCTGTCCTACATATATCCTACATACCGCTCACCTCACTCGCACATTCGGGACTATTCTCTCGGCACCATCTACCCGAGTTCACAACTAATCAGTCAGAAGTTGGGGTAAGATGACGTCTGTCTGTCCTTTTCTTCTCTCCCCTCACTCCTTTTTATCCTCTGGAGCGGCCTGGCATTTCTTAACCCGGTTGTCGTTGGAGGCTGGATATACCCATGCCAAGGTGTAATACTGGGCGCGTGGTTTTTGAAATAGCCGTTGGTCCATGCTGGATATAGATTGTTATCGTTAATATATTGCTGCCGCATGAGGGAGACGTTAGGAGATATGGGTTTGACCTCATTGTTGCAGCATGCAGTAGTAGTTTGTATAACTTCGACGCAGGTTTGGGCTTCTTGTTAGAAATTCATTCGGACAATCTTTTGGTTGGAGAAAGTATGTAGCTTAAGTCGAATTTTAGAGCATATACATTTATATTTATATCCTTTTCTAAGCTGTTCTAAACATCTCGTATTTTCGGTGCCCCTAAGAATAATAAGCAAGTATAAACAGCCAGCTTACTGCTGCTGTTGGCGAATCGTGATGCCATCAGTGGAAACCGTCGTTTTGGAGTAGATCTGCCCGCTAGTGCCCTGGATCTCAAAGGTCCCAGCTCCTGTAGGTCCGACTGTGGTTCCGTTCGCGAGGGTCGCGCTACTCTTGGTGAAAGTGACTGTATCGAAACGTGGCACGCGGGCTAGCTCCCCAGCCTCTTGGTAGGCCTGGACAAACCAGTCGGCGGCGAGTGCTGTCAGTGCGCTTGGGTCTTCTACTTTGGCGGGGATAGGCAATGTCTGAGTCGACTTCTTGTTCTGGGTCGTGTTCTCGGCGACGACAGTGCCCGTAGACTCGCCCGGATCCGAAACAGACACTGTGACAGTGATTGAATCACCAGCACTGATGGGCACCGCACTCGTAATGTCAGTCTCGTTGTCTGGGTACCAGGCGGCGAAGGATGTAAGGCCGTTAGAATAATTGGTACCGCCTTTGAGCACAACGTCTTGCTCGAGAGTGTCTCCAATAGTAACCCATATCGAAAATTTGTTGGTCCCGCTTAGGTTGGGGACGGTGAATGTTCCAGTGACAGAGGTAAAGGATTGGCCCTCAGGAGCTTTGAGAACGGCGCCCCCGCGGTTCTGGTCGAATGCTGCAAAGGCAGCGGAGGTGAATAAACCTACGAAGAGGGCACTGTAAGACTTAAGTAGAGAACCTCATAGTTGATAAAGTAACGTGTATGTGATAGAGTATATGTCCCGTGCGTATGTATGTGTCTGACAAGTCTCTAAAGAAATATATTACTACGCGGTCCAACAGAGGGATTACAACCCGTAACAGAGTTGGCCTTGCCCCCTTATTATGTGATCGACATGCTCAAGACCAAGCACCTACGAACTGGCCACGTTCAACAGATGATTCCACAAGATACCATGGGGATCATCTTGCATCCATGGCCACGTTCACTATGACAAGAAGATATCTAAAAGTTGGCTATAATATCTCGTGGATACGGCCAGACTCGATTCAGACGTTGGGACCGGATATTCCTTTTGGGAAGCTGGAGACCCAAAGAAGCCAATCAGAAGACGATGTCTGCCACTTTCATTAGCTGGGTATATTGTCGACTTTTGCCGTAAGAAAAGGTTGTCATATATCCAGTGTATATAAAGCCAAGGTCTATACCAATGTTATTAATAGATTATTGCCCTGTGTACCTAGTTACGGGTGTATTAGAGTTACACGAGGTTGAAAGCCTCCATGCAAGGTTAGTAAAAGTCTTTCAACCTCTAAGGAAAGGATTTGCTATCACTTTCACATGGCCCAGAAGTTGGGAGAATCTTCGATGTTTGTAGATTAATAGATCGATCATCGTTGCATAGTATACCAGAAATCTGGTAGGATACTATATGCGGCTGAGGCAGTGTGTTATCTCGGGCTTCTAAACATCGTATAGCTCAGCGTCAACAGTAGTAGCCAAGGAGTCGGGCCGTCAATGACAATTTTCATGGTCTTACATGTTGGCGGTCTTGGATATTTCCCCGAAGAGGACACTTGCAATCGCCACGCATTCATGACCCAGTCGTTAGAAGCCCAACTTGGAGAAATGGGCCTCGGCACTTATACATCCTTGCCATCAGGCCTTCTTTGGTCCCTATAAAAGATGCTGTATCAACGCCCGTCCTCTTGTTACACTGACTACCTCGCTGCAACCAACAGAAATCTCATCTTAGTTCCTTGTAGCTGAAGCGCCAAGATGAAGTGGCTCTCTCTTACCACGCTGGCGCTCTTTGCGCCCAGCCATGCTCTCATCCGTTTCCCTTGCGCCCAGTTGGTTGTTGACCGTCTTGATCCATTAGTCAATCCTGGCTTAATCCCTTCGCCGCATCTTCACCAGATTGTAGGAGGCGTAAGGACTCATAATTCATAAATTTAGCTCCAGTCCGTTAATTCATGCTGTTTTATAACTAATACCTCGCTAGAACTCCTTCAACGCAAGTATGGACCCGGCTAAGGATATGCCTGGCGAGTCTACCTGCACAACATGCTAGTTCAGCGAAGACTTTTCCAACTACTGGACTGCCGTATTATACTTCAAGGCCCGCAATGGAACTTACAAGCGAGTTCCTCAAATGGCCAACTCTGGTTTTGACGGTGTCAATGCCGGCATGACTGTTTACTACATGCAAGACGGCCTTTACAACTTCCAGCAGACCTCTAAAGTTACAGCTTTCCAGCCTGTTAGTACCGTCATATATCTTTAAGGGGGAGATAACTTATTTGCTTACTTTCCACTTCTAGGGTTTCCGCATGTACATCGGCAACGTCAACGCTCGTTCCCGCGAAGACATGGAGCGTTTCCGTCAGCTTACCTACACTTGTCTGCAGGACATTAACACCCGCGATCCCCAGATCCTTGACTTCCCTAAGGAGCCTTGCCCATACGGTATAATGACGGCGCTAAGATTCCCCACATGTTGGGATGGGAAGAATCTTGACTCTACCGATCACATGGGGCACATGGCCTATCCTGAGAGCGGTACCTTCGAGACAGGCGGTCCTTGCCCGGCATCGCACCCCGTTCGGATGAGCCAACTCTTTTACGAGGTTAACTGGGACACTCGGCAGTTCAACAACAAGAAAGACTGGCCTGAGGATGGGTCCCAGCCTTTTGTCTAGTCCTTTGGTGATTTGTAAGTCGCCAATTACCCCCCTTAAGAATTAAGAGTCAATTTAACATTATTAAAAAAACTTTCTTTTCTTATTTATATAACATTTTTTTAGAAGAAAATTTTTACTTTTAAATTCGAACTGAAAAAAAAAAGCTTAAAATTTAAAAGTATAAATTAATATGTAATAAAATTAATAAAATAAAAATTTAATTAATTAAATTATTTAATTAATTAAATTAAAAAAATATATTTAATTAAATTATTTAATTTTAAATATTAATTAATATATAATTTAATTAATTAAATAACAGATAAAATAAATAATAAAATAAAATATTTAATTAATAATTATTTTTTTTTCCGGTAATAAAATTTTTTTTATTTTAAATGACTTTAAACTTAAATTCGTTTTATAAACAAGTTACGTTTATTTACGTTTATTAACGCCACAAACGCCACGTAACGTATGGTTTATATAATTATATTTATAAATTACGGGTAAAACGTTTTATAAATTTAAGTTTAAAATTATTTTAAACTTATAAAAAATATTTAACATAAAATTGTTAATAAAAAATAAAAAATAACGTTTTTAATAATTTAATAAATTATAATAACGTATAAAAAAGTTTTTTTTTTAATAATTTAATATTATTGTTAATTTTTTTTTTATTTTTTTAACTTTTTTTTATATTTATATAATGTTACGTTATTTTAATAACTTAAATTAAATTCGTTAAAAATCGGGCTTACGTTTAATTGCGCCATAAACGCTATAAAACGCTTAACCCGTGTAATTATATTTATAAGTTATAAATGCAAATTTTAACAAATTTTAATTTAAAATAACTCGGGCGTTTTTAACCACGTTAAAACAGGTTTTTTTAAAAATTAAACTTTATATTTACAATGATTTAATATTTAATAATAACGTATAAAATAACTTTTATTTTTATGGTTTAAAGTTAATATATTATTTTTTTTACTTTTTTATTTTTTTTATATATTTATACGGCATTACGTTATAATATCGTAAGTTTTAACGTTTAAAAACACGTAATAATATATTAAAATAATACCAACATTTATATATATATTTATAACCATATATAAAATATTTAATTTTTTTTAATTTAAAATTAATATAATAAATTCCTAAGCTTTCCCGTTATTTTATTATTTTAGTTTTTAAACTTAAATTTGTTAAAACGGGTTGCGTTTGTTTACGCCACGGAACGTATGGCTTGTGTGTTTGTATTTATAGGGTATGTGTGTAAGTTTTAATAAATTTAAGTTTAAAAGTTGTTTAAATTTAAACGTTATTTACTTTTTAATTTAATGGTAAATAATAAAAAAAATTATTTTACAATAATTTAATATATTATAAAAATGTATAAAATAGTTTTAATTAAAATGATTTAAAGTTAATAATATATTTAATTTATTTTTTTAACTTTTTTACATACGCGTATAACGTTACGTTTTTATATATTAAGTTAAAACGTTAAAAAATATTTAATTTTTAAAATATTATAATTAATATTATAATATTATAATATTATAATTAACATTACGTATGTAAAATAATGTTTTTTATTTTAATTATAATTTTATAATATTATTGTTTAAATTTTTCCGCTTTTTTATTTTATATATTTATATGATATTATTTTTTTATATATTAAACTTTATAATGTGTGTTATAACCGGTATTACAACCGGTATTACGACCGGTATTATAGTTATTTTTAACGTTTTAAAAAATTTAAAACGCGTAAATTTAATTAATAAATTTAATAATAAAATTAATACGATTATATAATTAATTAATATTTATTATATAAATATAAAAACGCGTTAATATTATTATTTTTAATAATTTTATTAATTTAATAATATTTTTAAAAAATAAAATCGATTTTTAATAAAAACATATTTAAAATAACTTTAAATTAAAGTTTTAATATTTTTTTAAAAAAGTTATATAGGTTATGATTGGTTGGGGGGGTGGTGTGGTTAAAAAGGTATAATTTTACAAATTAAAAAAATTCGAAACTTTAGTTTAAAGTTACCTAAGATAACTATTTTATATGTTTATATAATATTGCGTTGTAATATTATAAACTTTAACGTCCGAATTGGTAATATATTCCCAAAAACGTTGCGACCGGTGTTGCGACCGGTGTTACAACCGGTATTACAGTTAATTATTACCCCGAAATGCTTAAAACACTTAAAACGCGTATATTTAAACGTTTAAAACGCGTATATTTATTAATAATAAAATTAATAAATGTTTTAAATTAATTAAAACTTACTTTAACTATTATTTTTAATATTATTTTTAATATTAAATAAAATAATATGTTAAAAATCGCTTAAATTATTTTAAACCAAAAATGTAAAATTCGTAAAAAAAAATAAGTTAAAAATGTAATTAATTAAAAAAAAATGTAACGGGAAAAATATAATAAAGTTCGCGTTATTAGTTTAAGTTTATTAAAATAAATGTTACGTTATTATATATTAAGTTTTAACGTTAAAAAAAACATTTAATAAAAAAATGGAAAAAAATTAATATAATTAATAACATAATTAATAAATTAATTAATAATATAATATTATATATAAAATATTTTTTATTTTAATTTTAATTTAATAATATTATTATTTAAACTTTTTTTTTATATATTTATATAATTTTATTTTTTTAAATATTATGTTTTAACGTATATTATAACGCGTGTTATAATTAATGCGTTATAATTAATGCGATTAATGTTATAATTAATATTATAATTAATTTTAATTTAAAATACGTATGTTTAATCGATAAATTTAATAATAAAGTTAATAAAAACGCGTTAATATTATAATAATTATAATAATAATTTTAATGATTTTTTATATTATAAATTTAATTTTTAAAAAAACGGGTTTTAATAAAATTTTAAATTAAAAATTTAATATTGTTTTAAAAAGTTATTTCGAGGTTATAATTGGTTAAAAAATGGTGTGGTTAAAAAAATATAACTTTTTAAACCAATTTAAATTTTTAATTTAAAGTTATTTAAAATAAAATTTTTTATTATTTAATTAATTAAAAAAAACTATAATAAAGTTAAATTTTAATTAAACGTATTAAAAAATATTAATAATAATAAAAAAGGTTGGTTAAAAAGGTTTAATTAATTAAAGTTAAATAAATGTAAAAAAAAATAATTTATAATTTTATATTATAAAAAATAAAACAGTTTATATAATAATTTTAATTAATTAAATAAAATATATATATTTATTTAAAAATTTCGGAATTATGTTTTAATAAATAAATTAATTATATTAAATATAACTTTAAATTTATATTATTTTAATATATTAATATAATTTTATATAATAATAAATTACGTGGTTTTTTTTAATTTTAATTTATAAATATAAATTTAATTTATTTAATTAATTAATTATAAATAAAACTTAATAAAATTTAATAAAGTTTATTTTAATAAAAAAAAGTTTTAATATAATTTTTTAAATAAAATTTTTTATATATATTATATTATTTTTTTATTTAAAATTTAATTTTTTTTATTTTTTTTATAATTTTTTCGTTAATATTATTTAATTTTTTTATATATATTAATTTTATAATATTATAAATTTTATTTTTAAGTTATAAAAAGTTTGTTATAATTTATATAATTTTAAAAAAAATTATTATTAAATATATATTTTTTTAATTATTTTATTTTTTTAATATATATAATTTATTTATTTATTTTATTTTTTAAAATTATTTATAAATTAATTGTTTTTTTTTTTAACTATTTAATTATTTTTTCTTTTTATATTTTTTTTTTAACCTTTTTTAATATTATAAATTTATTATTTTATTATTTAAAATGTAATATTATAAACTTTATTTTTACTTTAATAAGATTTTTTTAAAATGTTTAATAATAAAGGTAATAATAATGTATAAATAACCTTTTTTTTTTAATTTTTAATAATATATTTAATATTACCGAAATTTATTAAATTAGATTTTATTAATTAAATTATAATTATTTATATTATATATTAATATATTAATATATATTTATTTTTATTATTAATAAATTAAATTTAACTTATTTATAATTTAAATTAATAATTTATTAACGTAAACAATTTATAAATATAATTAATATATAATTGTTAATTTATTAATACCGGAGTTTTAATAATTAAAATTTTAATAATATTTGAAAAATGTATTAAATATATATAACCATATAATATATTTATTAAAATTAACGCCGAAATATTAATACGTTATTTTTTTCTTTTATACCTTTTTTTTATGTTATTTAAATTAATTTATAAAAAGATTTTAACATTAATAATTTTTTGTTATTAATATAATTTTTTATATAATTACTTATATAATTAATATTAAATATATTTAAATTATTAATTATTAATAATATAAACTTAACTTTATTTTAAATTTTTTTATAATAATTTAACTTAAAATATTTAAAAATTTTATATTTATTATAAAAAACAATAGTTTAATATACGGTTTAAAAGTGGTATATATTATAGTTATAAGTTTTATAATGTAAATTTAAAACCAAATAACGTATATTTTTTTTTAATTAAAAATAATTTTAATTTTAATATCGTATTTAAATCTTTTCCGGTATTAATATAAATAAAAAAAATGGTTATATTTTAATTTTATTATTTTATTAAAATTTATTAAATTTAAGGTTTATAATATTGTTATAAAAGTTATATTTACCACTTTTTTTAAAATATTAATTTATTATACCGGTAATTATTAAAATTACTTAAAAAATTTAATATTATTATATTATAATTAATTAATTTTTAATTATAATAATAAATTTTTTAAAATTTTTATATTTATTAAAGGTATATTATATAATAATTTTGTTTTTTATAAGAAAATTACTTTAATTACCAAAATATTTTAATAAATAAAAGTTGACTTTTTTAATTATTAAAAAACGGTAATATATTATTATAACTATTATTATATAAATTAAATAACAATAATAAAAATATTAACAATAATATTTTAAATAATAATTTTATTACTTTTATAAACGAATATAATATTTTCGCCGTTTTTAATTTAATTATTTTATAACCGTAATTTAATATCGTATAAAATTTTATTAATAAATTTAATATTTTACTTAATTTATTTAATATTTAATTTATTTTTATATTTAAATTAAATAAAATTTAATTATTTTTATCCTTTATATTTCCCATTTTTTACTTATATAACATAAATAAATTTATAATTTTTCGGTTTTATAATATTAAATTTATAAATTATATTAAATATATTTTTTAATAATATAATAATAAATTTACCTTTTATTTTTACTTTTATTATATAACTTTTAATATATTATAACGTTATTAAATTAATAATTAAAATATATTTTATATTAACCAAATAAATTTGGTAAATTTTACCAATATTAACAATATATAAACCGTTTTTAATAAAAATATTTTAAAAATATAAACGTTATTTAATTTAATAATTTAATATATTATTAATATATTAAATATTTAACTTTATTAAATAAATTAATAAACGGAATTAAATTTATAAATTAATATATTTAAATATTTAGCGTTATTTTTTATTTTTAACATTATTAATATATAATAAAATAATTTTTATTAATTTTTATTAAAATATTTAAAATAGTAAAACGTTAATAAAATCTTTAAAATTATTATAGTTAAAAATAATTTACGGTTATATTTATATATTGTTATTTATTACTTTTATACTTAATTTATAAAATTTTTTAAAATTATAATTTTAGTTAAATTTAAGATTAATAATTTTTAATATTAATTTAAATGGTAAAATTAAAGTAGTTTATATATTTATATATTATTATAAAATAATAAATAAAATTTATAAATTATTATTTATAATATGTTAATATTAAAAAGTTAAAAGAATTTTATTTAAATTTAGTTTAAATATATTATAATTATAAATTTAACGTTAAATTAAATGTTTATAAATAATTTATTTAATTTTTTAATTAATAAAAAACTATATATTATTATATATTTATAAAAGATTATATAATTTATATAAATTTATATATATAATTTAAATTATTATTTTTAATTATTAAAAAAAAATATAACGTTAATAATTTAAATTTTAAATTTATAATTATTATATAAGTTTTAAATAAAAAAACAGCTTAATTATTAAAATTTTAAAAGTTTTAAATATTTATTGCAATTTTTTAACATATTTTAAATTAAAATATTAAATTATTTTAATATAAATATTAATTTTATTTTTTTTATTTATTAATATTATTAATTAAAGTTAATAAGTTATTAAATTTTAATTATAACAATTTTATAATAAAGTAAAATAATTTAAGGTTAAATTTATATAATGTTATTATTATAATTAAATAAAGCGTTAATATAAATATAACGTTATATATTAATATATATATTATAAAAGTTTATATTATTAAATATTATTTTAAAATTAAAATATTTATCCGGATTTTTATTATATTAACTATTAAAATTATATTTTATTTTAATAATTGGTTTTTATTTTTATCGTTTATAACAAAATTTATAAATAAAATATTTAATAAATATAATATTTTAAAATAAAAATTAATATATAAATTATTTAAATATTTATTATAAATAAATTTTTATATTATATTTTAAATAAATTATTGGTTAAATTTTAAAAATATTTAACATTTTATAATTATTAACAGGTAAATTTAAAAAATAAATTTTATATTTATTAAATATTATAACCGGTTTAATATATTATTTTAAATAACGTTATTTAAATAATTTATTTAATATAATTAAAATTATAAATTAACGTTTTAATTTTAAATTTAAAATTATATTTTTATATATAATTTAAAATATAAATTAAATAAAGATTAATATAAAGATTATTATTAAATTAAATTTATATTATATTATTTTTTTCGGGATTTTATTAATAAAGTAAAAATTATTAACAGCGTTTTATATAAAATATATACCAATATATATGTTATATATAATAAATAATATTATGGTATTTATTTTATAAATTATTATAAAAAATTTTTAATTTTTATTAATTATAAAGAATTTTAAAACGAAAATATTTTTATTAAAATAATTTATAATTTATGGAATAATATAATTAATTTTTGGTTAAATAATTAAAAATATATTATAATTTAAAATTGGTTAAAGTATTAGTTTAAAAATATTTAATATAATTAAAGTTTTTATATTGGTAAATATTTAAATTTTAATAATAAAATTAATTATTAAGTTAATATTTAATAATAATATAATAATTTTAATATTTATATTATAAATATTTTTAATAACGTTAAAAATATATTAAATATAAAATAACAAAAATTTTATAATTTATATATAAATTATTATTAAAATTATTTTACCGGTAAAAATTTAACGTTATTATTAATTAACGTTAACGGGTTAAATGGTAGTAAAAAAACGTATATATTAAATATTTTTTTAGCATATTTATAACAATTAACGCAAAAATATAATATATAAAATTTAATTTTTTATATTATATTTATAAAAATAATAATTAATATTATTAACGGTTATATTTTTTATTTTATTTTTTAATTATTAATATAAAATATGTTTAATTTTTTATTAATTATAATATTAAATTAAATTTAATATAATTTTAATGTTATATAATATATTTTTATTAATAAAAAATTTATAATTAATTTAAAAATTTTTTATTAAATTAATTTTTAATTTAAAAAAATTATAATAAATTTAAATATAATTATAAATAGTTTAAATATAATTATATTAAGTAATTTTTAATAATTTTTTTTATTAATAATTAATTATTATTTTTTTAAAATTTTATTGGTATTAATAATATAATTAATTATATTATATATAAATATTTTAATTAAATAATTTATTTATTTATTATTATATGGTAAAATGGTTTTAATTAAAAGATTTTTTATTAAATTTTAAAAATTATTTGTTATTTTTGTATAAATTGGTTTAAATAAAAGTTATTTAATATTAAAGTATAAATTAAATTAAATTTTAATAAAATTAATTATTTTAATATGGTTTTTTAAATTTTTTCCTAATATAATATTATAAATAAATATAATTATAATTATTTATTATCTTTTAATTATTTGGTAAAAAATGTTAAAATAATTAAAATTGGTTAAAGTTAAAAATTATTTAATATTTAATTAATTAATAATTTTAAACGTTAATTACTTATAATTATTAATGTATAATATATATTAATATAAAATATTTGGATAAATTAAAGTTTTATAAATAAATTTATTGGTATTGTTAAAAATTTAATATAATTAAAAAGTTTTAATTTATTTACTTTACCTTTTTCCGTTATTTTTGTTTTTTTTCCCAATTATATTAAACCTTTGCTTTTTTATATAAAATAAAATAAAATAATAGTTTTTATTTTTTATTTAATTTAATTATATAAAATTAATAATAAGTTTTATTAATGTAATTAATTTCTGTTAATAATTATTTTTATTATTATAATTTATAAAGTTTAAGGAATTATTTATAATTAAACCGTATTAAATATTTTTTAAAAAAAATTTACTATTAATTTTATTTATGTTATAATATTATATATAAAACGGTTAAATAATTTAATATTTATTGTTTTTTTTTAATTTAATTATATTATAATATAATTTTAATAAATTAATTAAATTATATATTATAAATTAAAATAAACGTATTAATTAAATTATATAATTTTTATATAAAATTATTATTTGTTATAAATAATAATTTACTATTAAATGCTTTTTAAAAAAGTTGTTAAAAGTATTAAAAGGTATAAAAAAATGTTTTTTTATATTAAAATTTATATATAATTATTATAAAGTAATTATTTTATAAATTTTATTAATTATATATATAATTGCAAAATATAATTATATAAACTTTTTATTTTTACATATATTATATAATTTAATATATTATTTTTTTTATATATATATATTAAATTTAAAATTGTAACAAAATTATAATTTTTAAGTTATAACGAAAAAGTTTTCGTCTTTAAAATAGTGCTTATTTGATTTTCATATTGTTTAGTACTTCTTGAACAGGACTGGTTATGGAAACCACGGTGATTATGTCTTCGGATGGCAGGATGATGTGCTCCAGCATGCTCTAGACCAGCCTTGTTACATCAACTGCCCTACGCTCAAGACCCAAAATGCTTAGGCGATGAATGCATGCAGCAAAGAAAGAGTTGTTACCGAAGACAACATCGACGATTGTAAGTACTCTTAATTAGAGTCTTTTATTACTGAACTAACAATGTCCTAGGGGTTGAGACTCTACCTGGGGGAATGGTTGCGGGGGGGAACAAGCGTTTTAACAGGAGGTTAATAATGATGACGACTTGGCCTGGAATTGTGTCATACGAGTTTATGTTTTTGCATTTCCCTCAATATTCCCCCAATGACTAGATTATTAGACGCGAACACGCCTCATAATGTTTTATGATTGAGCAACGCTTTGGCGCCAATTGGAGAAACTCCGTTGTGAATGCTGATATATGGCGTATAGAATAGTACATAATATAACCCCATCGACTAGCAATAATTCATGCGGATGCATAGTTGTAAATGAAGATATCAATTTAAGGGAAAGGAAACGAACAGCTGGGTTATAAGATGATGTAAATGTAAGCTACAGAAACGGAAATATAATTAGGATAAATTGGTGATTAAAAATGCAATATTCAGCGATCATAATTCACCATCACTACCTAGGTACTTCTATTTAATATTTCTAACTACCTTATGGTAAAATTGCAGCTTAGTATGATTGTTGATGGCGATTACACCGGGGTAGTTAATGGGAGAATAGGAAGCGAGAAATCGGGGTCTAATGTATTAACCTAGAAGCATATAACTTTTCCTTTTACCACGCGATGTTTAATATTAGAATAACCAGCCATAAAAATAGATTGATTTACATAACACGAAGGGTGTGCGATTGTATTGTGTGGTCTAACGTTACGAAGTGGTTGGTGAAGTAAGGGGGTAACGAATGCATTTTCCAAACCGAGACATTCCAAATTTAAAAGTTAAGGCACGCGTAGGACATTGCATTCCTGTAAAAGAATGATTTGGAATCTTTCGAATGCGTCTCCCGCCACATACTAGCGGGGTTCTAGTTGAAGAGGGAAATGGTTAGATTGCCTGCCTATGTATTGAGAATATTGTAACACCCATGAAGGCAACCGCAAATCCTAACTCTAGGTAATGATCGCAGTGCAAGTCAAAGAATCCTACCGTTTTCAGACAAAGAACAGTAGGCAGTTATTCATGTATATATGAGTATCACGCCTAATCTCTCAATCGAGAAGCATAGGTACTCTTTCAAAAAGTCAAGACAAAGAGTTTCTCTACATCTCAAGCTCACTCATCCCTCCCACTTCAGACTTGCGAAGAGAACTCATAATCATCACCCTGATATAGTCACAATCATCATGTCGCTAGCACGTAAATTCCACAAGCGCGCTCGCGTTGCCGCGGACAATCCCGTGCCCTCTGTTGAGAAAGAGAAGGGATATCCCGAAGTCCACTACCCACCAATAAACCCCGGCGACTACAACAACAATGAATTCTATTATGAAAACCAACCCTCGCCCACACCGCCCCTGAAAGTCCCATCCTACGTCCCCGACCAGCCCGTCAACCACGTCCCGGACTTCTCCGACTCCGACGAGGAGGCCGAGTTCATCGGGAAAGTTGAGGCGTACTACCAGAAGATGGAGGCGGAGAAGGGAAAAACAGGGCCGGCGCGGCTGACTGCACCCAAGCGGAAAATCACTGAAGTCCTCTCTGACGACGATGTCTCCGACGACGACAAGGTAGACGTCAAGGGAGAGGAAGAAGAGCAAGAAGGCGGAGAGGAGGTCGAAGAAGACGAAGAAGAAGAAGAAGCAGTGCCGATCGCGCGGTCCGAGATGATAAACAACTTGGTAGACCTCCTGGAGATGACTGGGGTCACGCTAAACTTCGTCATCAAGTTACGAGGAGTTGATATTGACCCGACGGACCTAGAGAAGGTTAGGGAGGCGCTTGACGACTACCTCGAGGACGAAAACAAATCGTTCGAAACGCCTACCGAGGACGCACCTGAGAACGCGGCGGCTATGATCGAGCGGCTGTTCGATATGCCGCTCCGCGAGTTCCTGCCCCTAGCATACGATATTGCCCAGTTCAGGGATGACTTGGAAGCGCAGGGAATTTCTCTGAATCAAGGTTAATTTGTATTTTCACATTTAAATGTATAGTTGAATTTGGTGCGAGGAATTCTAGTAGCTTGTGTAGAAGATTATTCTATTAGGTTCGTAGGTTAGAGGAGGAAATAGTAGATGGAAGTGTTCATCTCAGATGTGGTATCATTTAATTTTGCAACATTGCTCGACAGCAATAGACTTTATACTCATTGGATATATCTATATTCGCTCTCTAGCCCTTGGCAGCGCCGGCCTTGATCAATAAGATATCGCCGTCTTCTACTACGTAGTCTTTGCCCTTGGTCATGACCTTACCCTTAGCCTTGACTTCGGCTTCGTCACCCAATTCCTTGAGTGTGTTGAAATTGTATACTACAGCCTGAATAAAGGTCTTTTCGAAATCCGTGTGGATGACACCGGCAGCCTGTGGTGCCTTGGTACCAAGCCGGATGGTCCATTGCCTTACCTCGTCGGTACCGGTCGTGAAGAAGCTACCAAGATTCATTGCCTTTCGCATCGTTGTGATGATCTTAGGCAATGCCGACTCAATACCGAGCTTCTTGCATTCTTCAGCAGCTTCTTCATCAGAGCCGAAGTGCGTGAGACGCTCCTCAAATGATACGGAGATGGGTAGAATAGGATCGCCCGCGGCGTGCTCCTTCATCCACTCAGCAATCTTGGCGAGATGCTTGTTCTTCTTGCGAGTATAGTCCTTCTCTGACAAATTGACTAGGTATACTACTGGTTTTGCGGAAAGGAGAAGAAGGGTGTTGATAACCTCGACCTATTGACATATGTTAGCTATGTTTTCCTGCAGGTGTAATCATAATATTTGGAGAGGTTCAGGTTATCAGAAAATTCTTTTATCACAGTATGCGCTCTGCGTTGTATTATTGAGGCATTCGAAGAGCTGGGATTAGATCAGGCGCTATGGCCCTTGTTCATCATGGTAAATGAGAGAAAAATGTGGAATAAAAATTCGTCTTACCTCCTTCGGAGTCCAGGTGCCTTTCCGAACATCTTTCCCATCCTTCAGCCATGCGAGGATTTTTTCTATAGTGGCCTCTTCCTCTTTAGCCTTCTTCAATTCCAAGCTTTGACCACCTACGCGGGTCTTCTTCTTGGAGTTCTCTATAGCTTTCTCGACGAACTCGATATCCTTTAGTCGCAGCTCCTCTGCGATGATATCTAAATCTCTGACGGGGTTAACGTCACCCTCGACGTGAATAATCTCGGCATCATCGAAGCATCGGACGACTTGGAAAATAGCGTCGACAGCTCGAATGTGTGACAGAAAAGCGTTACCCAGACCTGCACCGGTTGACGCGCCTCTCGTCAGACCAGCAATGTCGTAGATGGTCAAGTGAGCGGGTACTCGCGACTTAGGATTGTACTTCTTGCACAACCAGTCGTACCGCTCATCTGGAACCAAGACACGGGATTCTTCTGGGTCAATGGTGGCGTAAGGGAAGTTCTACTCGTACCCGGTTAGCTGGATTATGAGATGTACGAGAGCCCAAACTTACGGCAGGGTTACCAAGACTACACTTGGTGATGGCCTGAAACAGGGTCGACTTGCCAACGTTGGCAAGACCGACGATACCACTCTTCAAGTTGTTTCCCGGACGACCGAGGAGGATCTTCTCCTCTACAACTTGTTTCTTGGGAGGCATTTTTCGTCGCTTGGCGTAGGTACGAGTGGAGATATAGACTGTGGTGCAACTAGGCACGCGGTATGGGAGAAACGCAGAGCTAGCTGCGACAGGTCGAAAGGTGTGGAGTAGAGAAGTGAAGTGAAGGGTAAAGGAAAGAGAGGAAGACACGACGATGGATATAGGCTGAAGATCAGCCTCGATATCAGGTCAAACAAATATTAGATATCTGTTTAACTCCTAATGTCCATCGATTTAAGGTATTGTTGGCACTGGACGGCTGACCTCGTCAGGTTTTTTGTTGCGCGGTTTGGCACAGCTGTCCTGTCCTTTTCCTGTCCTCTTGGAGGGGCAGTTGGGAGAGAAGAAGAAAAAAAAAGCTTGCGCTTGTGGATTCCCAATCAAAATTGAATTTAGGATATTGTTTCGGAACCCGGAAGTCCTGTTATGCCGAGACTTGGTTTAACCCCACCTTCCCTTCCATCTAGGTTAGGTACATAAGGTACCTAACCTAGGGTAGTAACCTGGCAGCTGTGAACAGTAGATTGTCATTTGTATCGTCAGCTTGCCTCAAGTCTTGCCTTCCAGCGCTCTTCGCAGCGAGAATCGGGCAATCGGGACTGCGGGGGAGGCAATGCTTTTCAGCAGACCCTGACCGGATTCGTCATATGATTGGTCTACGTATCAGCTGGATGTGGCTTAACGCCCTCAGCCCATTAGTTCAATCCTCCTTACATGTACCTAAATGCCATGCATGTACCTAACATAGTATGTCCACTATGAAGTATGAAACTATATTATCTTTTGTAGTTGCCTCAAGGTAACGTAATCTGCCTTGCGTCAACTTTCCGACTTTATTCATGGCTTTTCTCTTGTTATTCACGATGATTCTCCGAACCTCCGTCATATAGTAACACAATCGACAATATAGAGATATTCTCGTCTCGTCTAGTATTTTCCTGTACAGCATACATCAAGTCGTCTTTGGATGTAAATGATCCTCCCCCGCCGCATTGCGATACCTGCACTCCATACTAGGCGTAGCCGTACTTCCGCTTGTCCTCTCACATCGTAACTCAAACTAAACGCAAAGATGTCCTCCAAGAAGTCAACGTCCAGCAGGACGTCAAGACAATCTCATCGATCAACACTGTCGCTATCGAGAACCGAAATTGTGATTAATGTCTATGATCTATTACCTGTAAGTACCTAAATTAAACTGTACAGTGTCGTCTAGCAGTGGTTACTAACAAAATGCCCACCATTAATAGCCTAACCGCCTCTCTTCCGTCCTTTGGACAGTTGGTGCCTCACTGCTACATTCAGGTGTCGTGATAAACGGGAAAGAGTATGCTTACGGTGGTCACGATCGGCCTGGGTTGACGGGTGTGTATTGGACACCACCCAAGACAGAACCACCTGGAGGTACTTTTAAGACCGAAATTCTACACGGTTTCTCCTTTGCGACTCAGGCCGAAATCGATACCATTATTCGCCATGCCTCCGACGAGTTTCAAGGTACATCCTATAATCTACTTACCCGAAACTGCAATCACTTTACTAGCTACCTCTGCAAGAAGCTCACTGGTAGGCCTGGCCCCGGATGGCTTAATCGCGCTGCAAGTATTGGCGTTGCTTTCCCGTGTATCGTCCCTCGAGACTGGATCGAACCGCCTGATTTCGAGACGGTAGATGGTGCGCTGCTAGACGAAGAGGGACTCAACGATCATGAGAGAACTAGGATGCTTAGGGACGATAGTTCTAGGAGACTAGCAACACAAGAGAGCGATGACGACGGAGAACACTCGAGCCGGGCCAGCGAGGAAGCGCGCCGTTATAGTAGGAGTAGCAAAGGAAAAGGCCGAGCTAAGGACACAAGCGGACGAACATTACCACCTGCCGAGAGAGCACCTTCGTCTAGTAGACCAAGCATGTCTTAAGTGGAAAGACGATTTGACAACACTGGATTACACTATCTGCATTATGAGGCGTTGGCAACAAGTATGATAGTAATTTGGCTGGGTGGCGTTACATGAGGTTTGATTGATACCAAAGGCATGCTCCGTCGTTATGTAAAGCGCATTTGGCGCTCTTTTGACTCTTCATATGCACAATGAACTTGCTGGATGATATTGTCCACTAATGCACATGGCAATGATGTGATATACACTGGTCATATAGTTAATTGTTCCACTCTTACTCTCTTGGTTATTTAGCCTAATCTCCTTGGCTTAGGGCTCCTCGTGCCACCAAACTTGAGCCTTGTAGAATCTGATACCTTCACGATCTTATCTCTCAGCATACGACCTTCGGTACCCAGAAGAACCTTAGTGGCGGCCTCCCGTCCAGCACCGAAGCCTCGTAGAATAACCTCCATGGCCGTGATGTTTTTGTGCCAATTTCCCTGGTGGAGTTTATCTATAACGTACGCCGTCAGCTGGTAGGCAGCGTCGTAGGTGCTACGTTTAGACTTCTTGAATCCAATATCGCCGGCCGACTTGCTGATAATTGCGCCGCGGTTCGGCTTCGTTACCGTGATATGGCAGTTGTGCTTATGTGCGTATATGTGGAAATGAAAGGGCTCGGTCGCGGGTCCCCAGTCTTCTTTTGCCTCATTCTCATCGGCTCCTAGAATCTGTTCGGTTACTGTAGGCTGGTTTCGCGCTCTCGCAACGGTGTTTTGCGCCAATATTCTTTGTAGAGCGGACATATCGCCTCCACCTCCTAGACGCGGAGGTCCTTTCGGTTGTGATGATTGCGCACTTCGTGGCAGCATGCTGAGGAGCGAAGGCGCGCGTCTGGGTCCATCATGTCGCAAGCATGTTTGGGAGAAAGGGCGGATATATTGGTGGGTAGTTTGGGAGTAGGATACGGGAGTGCGGGTGGCCGCCAATAGGCGATTTTGTATTCGGCTCATCGTAGAAGCATTAGGTTGAATGGTCTGTCGGTGCTATATCGGGAAGCCCTGAGATATTGCTCAGGAAGCAAAACCGGCGTCAATTGACCAATGCTGAGATATCGCCGTGTGCCGTGACTCGCGGCTGATAAAATCTAGAAATTTTGACGGCACGGGATAAGAGAATTGCATCTTGGACCGGGCGAATTGTAAAATTCTGGGACTAGTCCTGTTAGGTCGAAATATGATTGGTCATTTTAGTAAAGTGCTACTTCTTCGGGTCAAGCTGTACCTATGTAATCCGTAGGTACCTGTGTTCTAGGTACAATATGGAAGTACCTAAAAGTGCCTTGGTTTACCTAAGGTAATTTTTCTATTTTCTATTTGCCGGCTTCGCCCGCCTTCATACATCCGTTGCGAAGAATTTCCTTGCCGGTTTTAATATTCTTCCACTTACCCCCAGACCGGAGGTCTTTTTTGCGACGCTTTCTCACAGCGCGAAATGACTTCACTAAGACAAGTTACTAGGAGCGCACCCCCGCCGGCCTTCCTGAGGGCGCCTTCGTTCGCAGCTCACTCTTATGGCAGAGCTCCAGCATATAGACGGTTACTGTCGAGCGCCGAGACCTCTAAATTCGCAAGCAATAATGTAGCACCACTCACTTCTCCTCGACTACCTTTTTCGCCACTTTCTCAACTACGGTCACCCTTCATTCCCGAAACTATAGCAACCTTGCAGTCCCGTCCTTTCCACCAAACGTCGAGATGGTACCAGGAACAACCCCAGCAAGCCCCGCAATCCGCTAAGCCAGACCCTAAGTCTGCGGAACCAAAAGAAAAAGCCGAGCAGAAGGCCTCAGATACCGAATCCGAAGCGAAATCCAGCTCGGACGAGAAGGCTGATCAACAAGAGGAGCAGGGCAAAAAGGAGGAGGAAAAGGAGGAGAAAAAGGAAGATCTGCCGCCGCCACCTCCCCACGGTGACAAGACGCCATGGCAAGTCTTCATGGAAACAATGCAGACCGAGTTCAAGGCTTCGAAAGAATGGAACGAGTCGACCAAGCAACTAGCTGACTCGGCTCATTCCTTTACCGAGAGCGAATCTGTCCGCCGTGCGAGACAGGCTTACGAAAACACCACGGGTGCTGTTTCGTCAACAGCAGGAAAAGTACTGAAGACTTCGGCTACCGCGGTTGGAAAGGGTGCGGCATGGACATGGGAGACGCCGGTCATGAAAGGCGTTCGGAAAGGAGCGAATCTAACTGGAGATATATTGGACAAAGCGACGAAGCCGATAAGGGAGACTGAGGCATACAAAAATGTCAAGGACGTAATCGATGACGGAAGCAGTTCAAGATATGGTGGTTGGGTTGAAAAGGAAGAGCGGAGAAAAGCTAGGGAACTTCGAGAGAAGCAAGCTCGTTCTATCCACGGCAAGGCAGAAGATGCAGTCGAAGATCCAAAGTAAGTTCAACAAGAGTATTTGTCAATCGCAATTGATACTAACGATCTTCAGCGCCGGTACAAATATCACATTGCATAAAGATGCAGCTTGGAAGGAGGCGTGGCGAGAGTTCCGAGATCAAAACAAGCTTGTCCAGGGGATATTCAATATGAAGAGTGTCTACAACGAATCTGAGAACCCTTTAATAACGACGGCACGGAGCATCACTGACCGTGTGGCTGGATTCTTCGCGGAGAATGAAACAGCCATGGTCATTCGAAAGTTTCGCTCTATGGACCCTAATTTTCAGATTGAGCCATTCCTCCAGGAGCTGAGAGAGTATATCTTACCCGAAGTACTCGACGCTTATGTCAAGGGTGATACTGAAACGCTGAAGCTTTGGCTTTCGGCTGCTCAGTATTCAGTGTACGAAGCTTTGACCAAGCAGTACCTTCAAGCTGGCTTGAAGTCAGATGGTCGGATTCTTGATATAAGGCATGTAGACATCCTAAAAGCCCGCATGCTCGATCCTGGTGAGATTCCCGTCTTTATCATTACCTGCCGGACGCAGGAGGTTCACGTCTACCGAAACGCCAAGACGAATGAGCTCGCCGCGGGAATGGAAGACAAAGTTCAACTTGTCACTTATGCGATTGGCATTACACGGACACCTGAGGATGTCAACAACCCAGAAACAAGGGGATGGAGGTTGATCGAAATGCAAAAGAGCGGAAGGGACTATATATAAACCAGATATTTTGTCCTATCTACACGCAGATACCCCCCAACTCTGTGATATAATACTGTACACTATCTACTAGAGACGACGGAATAGAGGCCGTGGAAGGCGGTCTCACCACACCACTCCAAGTTGGCGGCCTTGGACTAAGGCAGGCAAGGCGTTTGGGGTCAGCATGATCAAATGTATGATAGACAAAAAGGTGCATATATGGACACGCATGGAAAACTGCAATATACTAACTCTAAGCAGTAACTATGCCTCAATACATTAAACAACAAGTCAAGCTTGACCTGAGTATCTCGGCCTTATTCCGTTCTGTTTGCCCGGCAAACCCCATCAGGTCATAATCTAGTAAAGCGCATTTTAGTCAGACTGTCGAAATCGAAGACAATATTTCAGCGAAGCCGTAGGGGATTCCTAGTTTTCGGGACTCTCCATCATCTTCTTCATTTCTTCCTCGTGTCGGATACGGTCTCGCAGCTGCATGAGGATTATTCCTTGAAGATTGAGGCCCCACCTCTGGCGTCGTTGCCATGATACCTTCCACCAATATCCGTTGCCCCAAACGTAGTCCAACGGTGATGCCTGAACAATCTGTCGGTCACCTGTCTCTAGTAGAGCTTCCTTCAACCGTTCCGAATGCTTTAATGCCTCGTCGGAAATATCAAACCATAGCTCACAGGTAGCCGGGAGGGTGTTACGGGGGGTATATGGTGACGTGAACTTGTGCCAGTTTGCCTCGTAAAGGATGCGCTCACGATGGGTTTCCCAGACGGCCTGGTCATAGTTCTTAAGCTTCTTCGTTAATTCTCTAGCCCTATGTGGAGATTTACACCTAAGGACCTCGGCGGCGATTTCAGGGTCGTCGAACAAGAGCGCTTTGTGGTGTAAGTAGTAGTGCTCAGCCGTTGGGTAAACTTTGGACGGGTCGTAACTGTCACGGAACGGCGATGGGTACCACATCGACATAAAACCGTACTTTTTCTCGAAGGGTTTCCAGTAGTAGACGATGTCTGGCTCTGGTTCTGGATCAGGCCCATATGAAGCCTTTCCTATTCGGCCGATTCGGCCGAATCTGGGTAATGCAATCTTGCTCTGGAAGGGCGGCATTGCTAAGGTGTATTGTGGATATGATGGTATGATGGTATTACAGTATGTCGGTATGATGGTATACTGGTATACTGGTGTGCTGGCTGACAAACTGTTAAAGGGGTAGATGAGACTAGTAAGAGATTTGGAATATCATGTGGTTCGGATACAATGTTTCAAAGACTTGGTTACCTGAAATATTTCCCAAGCAAATGCGAGTGACGTATATATACCCGGTCCTTCCTGTTGAATTAGTTGGCTTTGATACCAGTAAGAACCATAAACTCCATGCCAACCACGACCGACTATCTTGTGGTGTTAGAGTTTTCTCAAGATAGTCCCCGTGCGGCTTAAACGCAATGACTTGGGACGAGACGATGAATACGCCCCTTCTGGGGTAGGGGATCTTTACGAAGCTGGCAAGACCGCCTGTTCGCCACTTAAACCATCTGCCCATGACCTAGAATGATGAAAGAGAAGGCATTTCAGTTGAGTATATGAAACTATAGGTAGTCTATAAATGATAGATGTTTTAGGTGGTATATACCTACCTTCTTTCATGATATACCTAGCTAGAACAGGCCACCTCCTAGATAATCAACAATCACTACTATTACTACCTGACAAGTTCCGTGCACATGTAGCCTACATTATATAGTTCATGTTAGTGACAGGTATAGAAGCTACACATACCTATTTAACTTGATTAAACTGGCATTTTATCTCCTTCTTTGTTCAATGCCCGGGCACTTCTATCCATCTCTACATCCTAGCGAAAGGCTGGCAAGGCCAATAGCTTATTATGACATGATCAAAAAGTACATATCGGGGTATAGATATACGAATTAAAATGGGCTGTTCGAGTCCACGAGAATTGGGATGGTTTGTTTTAGCCATTAGAGCTTCAGGGGCATTTACATAGAGTAGGTAGATTAGGTACCTAAGTACCTGTATGTACCTAAGTGTAAGTCCCGGCGCTGTTGTACACTAAGAGAACCTTATATTTCATGGTCCGTGCGCAACGCCTCTTCTAGGTCTAGGTAGCATTTAAACATTTTAGCGTTCCTAGAATAGAACATAGCAACAATCATATCGTATCGTCAACAATGCCTTTACAAACTTCAGCGACCATCATCATCAAGCCATTCGGCTCAATAATCAAATTGAATTTTGGATGAGAGCATGACGATCGAAGCAGCAAGGCGTCTTGCTCAATGATCTGCCGACCTCGCACTACGAGAGATGCTCTCAGCCAGCCTGGCATTCGCGCCTTGCTTTTTCTCGTAACCCTCGTTTCGCTATATTCGATATACGGCTCATTCTACTTTTACCGCGATCCTCTCTCCATCTTCTTCTCCGAGGAACATGGGTTCGATCGTTTCTACTCGGCTACGCGCCAGGCCGAAGCTGATGAATTCCTCGACGCCGTTATGGCGGACCCCGACTTGGCGCAATCCAAACTAGGCAATTCTGGTCCCACACCCCAGATTTGCGCCGTCTTTATAACAGTGGGAAGGAATATGGATGGTCGGCAGTACATCGACAGTGCTGTAGGCTCATTCTTGGCTAACATGTCCCGTGCCGAGAGGCAGACCGTGCATTTGAAACTGTTCTTTGCCGACGTGCCGAACCCTACTACCCAGCATAAGAGCTATGCCCGCCTAACCGCTGCTGGTATCGCCGACGAAGTATTCACTTACAACTCCACCTTACCACCGAAGCAAAAGGATGACAAGATTCGCGAGTTTATGGAATATACCAAGGATCGTCAGGATAAGCATGCGCTAGAAAAGAAAACAGTATATGATTATGCATACGCTCTAGATCGTTGTGTTCTGACTACCGAGGCTCCTTACATTGCAATTTTCGAGGAAGATATCCTTCTTGCCGATGGATGGGCGGCGAGGACCCTAAGGAATCTGCGAATTATCGAGGAGATGATGAAGGACCCTAGGCGGCGCGATCCTAAGAAGGGCAAAATTGATCCAGGTGTACCAAACACATGGTTATACTTGCGTCTCTTTAACCAAGAACGAAGCTTTGGGTGGTCGGGCGGGCCCGGATTTAGAAGCAATAATCTTCACGTCATATCAGTCGCGGTAGCCATTCCGCTCCTCTTAGTTCTGCTCTTGGCACGGAGAAAGCTACCGCGTCACCTAGCTCGACATCTGGACGGGTGGACGTTACTAGTGGTTTGCGGCGTTGCAGTACCGCTCATATTGTGGTTATTCTATGCCTCTGGTAAAGCCGCCCTCATTGGTTCACCACCAGGAGTTCGTGAGGAATTCTTCGGGTGTTGTAACCAGGCATTGGTTTACAACCGTGAACACGCGGGAGAATTATCAGAATTCTTGATGACTGCTTCTAAGCGAGCCGTCCCTGGTAGGAGCGATATGCTTCCAAAGAAGTTCGCTTATGACCACGGCTTTGCGAGAGTCAGTGCTTATCCGATGTTAGCGCAGCATGCAGGTAGAGTGAGCGCGATCGACACGAGTAATGACGAGGCGAAGCGCGTATGGAGTATGGCTTTCGAGGACTTGAAGCCGTCTAAGTTGGCGAAGGAGCACGTTAAAGATGTACAGGCGCTGTTTGGAGACGAGGCAGCCGAGCAGATGAGAAGACAGTGGGTTCAAGCGCCAAGTGTAGCGTGAACAGTCGCCAGTACGATTCATGAAATGAAGTTACCTTAGCCGTTGTCTTTACCTAACGCCCCAGTCAGCTATTCCACGCATATGATAAACACATCAAAAGTTCGAGATCGCTAGTCAGTCCGACATGGGTGTCTTATGGACTTATTATAGTCGAGACCAGGCGCTAAGTTTCAAAGAGCTTAGCCTAGAGACTGCGCCGCTTTGATAGACCCCAAGAAGTGAGTCAGAAATACGGATGAAAGTGAGGCATGTCTATGAATGAATCCTCGTTAGAACCACCCCAAACTACGAAATTAAATAATAAAGTACATTATCAATAAGACATCGGCGCTCAACGCAATGACTGGAATGATAGTCCAGGAGGGTCTACCACCTGAACACGCTTCTGGTGGTGGTAGCGGCCTCTTTAGACTCCTCGACCTCCCCCTGGAACTTCGAAATGAGATCTACGCACACTTACTTGTCCAGACGGAACCAGTCGACTGCTCAAGGGTATGGTTCTCGACGGCAGCTCGACATCTACGTCGGCTTGCGAAGGAAAATGCGCCTGATTGCTGTAGCCAGAACTACGCATGTACGCACTACGATGCGCGGCTGCGCCCGCGAACGGGCCTCCTGCGGGCGTGCCGCCAGGTGAGTAACGAGGCGCTTGAGGTTTTGTATACCCAAAGCGTGTTCCGTGTCGACCTCGAGAGCCGCTCTAAGTTCCTACGGTTCTTCACCATCGGCGAGGCGAATCTACGCCGCGTGCGCCATCTACGCCTCAATGCCTTTACTGCGTATTATTCGTACCGTATAGCCGGGCCCGGCGAGAAGCAGTGGCAGTTCTTCCGCCCCGTAGCCCTCGATGCGGCGTTCTGGACGGCATTGCTCGAGGGCTTGCTTACTCTTGAGTTCATCATGAAAGTACCTACCTGGGGCCATCATAGCGGATGGCCGGTGTGGGTTGGGCAGCTTGAGACCGTGCTAAGTTTCGTGGGCGAGCGTATCGACGAGGGCACGGATGTTACTATTGACGATAACTACTCGATGTTTCTGTGCGAGGCTGTTGATCGGTGTTTCCGGAAGCCTTTCCGCAGGGTGAGGACTAAGGAGGGCGATGCTTATTATTATAGGACCCGGTTTGATCCGGATAATATCACTGGTCCTGTGGCTAGTGATGAGGGCTAGACGGGTGGACTTTTGGCTTTGATTTTTATAATACCCTATCCTAGCAATATTTGTTATGGATACATTCTTAAGTCCTTTCTATAGTTTACATGTCTTAATTAGCCAGGTGTCTAGGTACCTATACCCAGATACTTGGTAGTTTTCAAACCAAACGCGTCCAGGTCGTTGTTGGTGAAGCTTCATTACCACCTAAGATATGCACAGCCCAAGGTTACCAATTCTTTGTCTTTATGGTTGACATTCTATAACATCTAAAAAGTCGCTGGGTTGGTTGGTACTTGCTACATACGACAAGATTAGTTGAGGCTATAGAGAGCTTACCTAAGGGATATATCTGATACTTACACCTAATCGATAGTTACAACACTATATTTGATACCTATGGTTATGGTACTATACTTTTATCAAACTACCGGTCATACATAGTGGTTAAGAAGCTCCGAGCTAGCACGTCTCATCGCCTTCTAAACTTTTGGGACACCAAGATATCAATCTGAGTAGGTAGGTATCTAGAAACACTAGACTAAGACAACTTTCGGTGTGTGCGCATTGGTTCTACCTAAAACTAGTATCAGAGGTATACTTCTTGAATGATCATATCATCCGATCATATATTGGTTGGGGGCGCTGGCCCGGCTGGTTCGAACACGTGCGGAACGCCGTCGTGACATCCTGTACTACAACTAGGTTCTTAGAAACTCAACGGGTACAGCATCGAGACTGTCTCTAGCTAACGTACTTATTAAGTATCTTAATAACTTTACTACTTACCTACTTAGGTACCTAAGGTAGGTAGGTAATCCTAACTACGTTAGAAAAAGAAAACACCAGTAGTCGCGGTTGATTTTGTGTATTCCTGCTCTGCTGGATATTGCATTATTGGGTTATTGGTATTTAAAATAACAACCGAAGATCGCCAAGACCAAGTGCCACTTACTGTAGCTCTTCAGTTTTGGCGCTTCGCATAGCACAGCAGATCCGAATCAAGATTTTCCAGACCGGAGTAGCAAATCTGAAATCCTTCGGCTTTTCCGTGGCATTAAATACATTGAGTCGGCGTACAGGACTAGGACATTTGAGTTATAAGGAAGGACAATAGTTGAAGATGCATTTCAACTATGTGGTTTCTCGCCGAGCTTCCTTCTTGAGATGTGCTAACTTGTGACCCCTGAATAAGTATTCACATGCTTAGACCTACAGTATTATGAATGAAAATCAATCGCATTAGCTTCAAACGCCTCAGTTCACAAGCATCGAACATGTTTATCCTGATTTGACTTAAACATATTCTCACCGAATCCTGTATACAAGAGTTAAACTTATATAATTCAATATGAAGTCGGTATATCCGGCCGATGCACATGAGCCCATCCCAGGTCTTAGATTTGGATGTGGGGGCTGACCGGGGAGAACACGCGGTAATCTCCTTTAAGAAGGTGTTATTTACCAAGGATCTCCGAACGGCACACGGGCTGAGAATCCGCCCCTTTATTGGTCCATACAACGTAGGAAGCTAATTTGTTAACTGCCTCTAGTGTTTTCTGTAGTTCTCATAAAAGCCACATGTTAGGCTTGTAGACTTTAAGAAGATCGTTGCGGATCTCAGAATTTGCTTCTCAAGCATCCTTGGTCGCCTCGCTCTCGAAGCTCACTGCAACATGGAGCTCACCCTGCTTGCGATCGCGGTCGCTGGACTATCCGTTAAGTTCCTGTTTACTCCATTCGCAATTATAGCTAACGAAGACTTAGTCTATCCCACTCGCTCGGTGTGAGAAGCAGGTCACAGATGGAATATCCAGCTGTGGAAACGCATGGATGCCTAGAGATAATGTCACTATTGCGCAAGGAACGGACACGCGTAGGGGATATAGTACGGCGGTGCAAACCTTTTGTAGCGCAGCGAATGGGCAGACGGTGAAGCCTAGCGGATATCTCTCCCTCGCGACGGAAGTCTTCCTTAACGACGGGAAGGACCCCGCTACTTACGGTGTTCTAGGATTTGTATACTGTAAGTTTGTGATGTATCAGTCTTCGCCGGAGTCTAATATTCATTCGTATAGTCGAGGTCCACAATAAAGAAAGCTCGGATCATACTATTTCAAGTCAGTACTGCAGTCGGGATGTATGAGATGGATTCGACTACTAACACTAGCTAGTCGAGAATTGTGAGAAATACCTCTTGGCACTTAGCGCCGACGGTGGTCAATGTTCTGGAGAGCAAAACCACGACACCAAGGGTGGCACCTGGCAAGTTGGGAATAATGGCGTCTCGTACCATGCTTTAGGCAATGAGATACCGCCTCAACAAGATGCCGTTAACAAATTGTTTTCCGGCTCTGCTTTAGGGGCACAAAGTGTGAATAAAGGATCCGGTCCACCCCTGAACCCCTGGCCGCTGGAGTCTGTGAATAGCGTCAAGCCAACGAACTGCCATAGCCATAACGACTATACCCGAAACATCCCAGTATATTCCGCTTTAAGTGCAGGGTGTATTGGGATTGAAGCTGATGTCTGGTATTCTAACGGAGACGTTACTATCGGCCATATCCTTCCAACTCCCGGAAGGACTTTAACGGTGCAGTACACCCAGCCGCTGCGAGCAATACTAGACCATAACAACGGCGGTTCTCCTGGAAATGTTGGCCTGTACAAGGCCAGCCCTGGACAGAGCGTTACGCTGCTTGTAGATTTCAAGACCTCTGATACCCAGACTCTGGATGCTGTCGTCAAGGCACTCCAACCCCTCCGGGATGGCGGATACCTCAGTCACCTCGATGGTGACAAGTTCGTTGAGAGACAGATCACAGTTGTCGCTAGCGGGAGTGCTCCGTTTGACCGCATCAGCTCAGGCGACGGTGTCCCCAACCGAGACGTATTTTACGATGCTCACGTGGACCAATGGGACAGCAGCTTCACCAGCCAGAATTCCTACTACGCCTCGGCCGATTTTGAAGACGCCGTCGGAAGCCCAGGCAGCGTGAACGATTTCAGTCAGGACCAAAAGAGTACAGTCCAATCGCAAGTTGAGAAAGCTCATTCGGCGGGTCTTAAAGTGCGATACTGTAAGTTTGACTCTTCTATACTTTCGGTTCAGACATGGACTGACATACCTTATAGACAATCTGCCGGGAGATTATCTTTGGGAGCCCCTGGCAGCGCTTGGTGTAGATCGGTTAAACGCCGATGATATGTATGACACGGCTAGGCTTCCACGGGTATAGTATGGTTTAGGATTTTATGAATCTCTGTATATAGGTACCTATACGATATGATTTTGGATAAGAGAAATCTTAGGGGGTAACTATATAGGTCAATACATGGGGATCTCCAGGTTAGTCCCGACGAAATGGAACCCGATTCGAATCCTAGTAACACTAGACTTTTTCCGGTTTATTCAATTCTATTTATCATTCTACTTACCTCCTTTAGAGGATGGATTTCCAGACTGATGGATTTCTGATATGTAACTGCCGATGAATTCCTTATCTGGAAAATTGTAAATATTTTAACCTAATACCAGGATACGAGTGGCCTCGATAAAGGGTCATCAATTGGTTCAATAAGAGCCGCTATAGGTCGAGATGCACGCGCCTCATAACAAACACCATGAGCCAACCGGATTCGGGGTTCCATCCAAGCACCCCACGACACAAAGAGGCCTGCAGCTAGCCTATCAAGAGGCGCTTCTTTAGAACGAACGAACGAATAGATAGCTCCAGGATCCCTGAATGATGGGTTCTGTCGCCGAGCACTACTTCCATGAGGAGATGGACTGTCCGTAATCCTAGGCTTGTGACCATATCGGGCTCTTGTGATAGGCAACTCAAGCTTTAGCTTCTCTAACCCCAACGCGAAAGCTCAAAAAGTCACTATCGTGAGCGCACTCAATGTCTTCTCATCGGCTCATATCGGTGCCTTCAAGGCGTCGCGTACGGCCCGAAACCCCACCACCGGCATATTCAGAATACGACATGCACGAAATGTCCCAGCTAGCTCCCTACAATCAAGATACCCGGAGCACACTAGAGCTAGAGTACCACGCACCGGGTATACCACCGCAATCTGCCGCAATCGGTCCCCGTTGTCAATCCACCTTTTGTTATAGGACCGTAACGGGGACGAGCCACTACTGTCGAAAGCACAAATGTAATGTAGCCGGCTGTGTTGGCCGTAGAGAAAAGGGGCATGGCAAGCGCTATTGTACAGTACACGAGTGTTTCTGGAGAGGATGCCACAGCTCTAAAGCCGGACGTTCGAATTATTGCGACCAGCATACTTGTCAACTAGAAGGTTGTCACGAACCAAGTCCAGAGGAATACTATCGTTACTGCAATGTCCATACTTGTCGCGTCCAGCGCTGTGCTGGTCGGCGCGAATCTCCCTCGAGGTATTGTTCCAAGCACAGATGCCACGCCAACCATTGCTCTCGCGCATTTTCAAAATCAAGCGAATTTTGTATGGACCATAGATGCGAAGTAGATCGATGCGGCGCGGCGCGGAGCGACGGTAGCAATCTTTGCAGTCGTCACGAGTGTTCGGTCGAAGATTGCAACGGGAGGAGGTTCGAGAAGAGTCAATTCTGCGGTGCGCATAAGTGCGTTACTAAGGGATGCGCGGATGTTCATATTGAAGGGTTTCGCCACTGCGCGCAGCACAAGTGCCGTTCGTGCGAGAGGCCTTGCATCCCTGAAAGTGGCTTTTGCCGTCGACACAAATGCCGAGAGCCGAGATGCCTGCAAGCCCGAGCGAGCGGTACGACCTGGTGTCTACGTCACGTCTGCCAATGGGTCGGGTGTGCTGAGCCTGCGTTCCAGCGTAACGGGTACTGTAGTGAACATACCTGCTCTACAGGAGATTGCACCGAGAGCGTGGTCCAGGGGGGGAACGCCATTGGCTTCTGCTGTCGCCTTCATACTTGTGCAGAGCAGGACTGTCTTCAGGAGATTTCGAGAACCGCGTACTGTGCCGAACACGAATGCCCACGACGCGCATGTCTCAACTCTCGATTCTGGGGCGGTAAACAGGACGAGGAAGAGCACGAATGTTGCAGGAATCATACATGTGCTCAAGAGACCTGCTACGCCCCTACGATGCGTAACAGGGCGTTTTGTGAACAGCATGTATGCTCCTATACTGGGGGCTGCATGTCGTCCAAAGTTCCGAACCTCGAATGTTGTGGGGTGCATAGATGCAACCAGGGTTCGTGTCAGAACCCCTGTATCCCAAGCAGTTTATTCTGCAGCGATCATGTCTGTGCTTGGGAGACGGGATGTTTACGCGGTTCTGGTGGTCCAGACCAGATTTATTGCGAGTCTCACACATGTACGGAACAAAGTTGCCACGAGAGATGTAAAGGATCGCATGGTCTTTGCTCTGTACATGCGTGTCGATGGAGTTCATCGTGCGTGAACGCACCCTCGAACTCTGGTCAATATTGCCATCATCATTCGTGTATTAAAAACGGATGTACTAGGGCAAGTTTGGTTGAGGGGAGTCTGTGCCGTCATCATGCTTGTTCGTGGGATTCGTCCATCTGCCTCAAGCCTCGTTGGAAGAGAAGCAGTTACTGCGGAGACCATACCTGCGGAGAGATGGGCTGTGGCTTTTCTCGGGTTCCGGGCGGGTCATACTGCTCTGACCATTCCTGTCAGGCGTCGAAGTCTTGCACCGGACAGGCAGAAATGGGAAGCGACTATTGCATCGAGCACAAGTGCAGTAGACCGAACTGTAGATTGAAGAGCACAGGAAGTACACGGTTTTGCAAGAACCATAAATCCTTATACCGCCCAATAGGGACTCATCAACTGACAAGCCTACAAAGGTAAGGAACATATCGTATCTGAGGCGTCATGTTAGCTTACGCATGCAGTTTTCGGTCGCGCGCGGGATACGGTGTAATTGACCCCTTACTCGCAGCATCTCTTACACATGTGGACTCTCCGCGGAAGTTGCCGAAAAGTCCCCCTCGGCAACGCCAATGGGCGTGAGATAGTAACCGATTTTCGTAGTGACTAACGTTCTTAAGTTTTGAAATGACTAGATTGTACTCATATGAATCCATCGTTGGATTGGGTTGATACTGGTACCTGCTACGAGATATTGATTGTACGATTTGTTTTATGAGGTATATGGCAAGCCTATAGAATCAACATAGGGAGAATGTATATCCTTAGGTTAGATTATTACGAACTATTTAAAGCTGACAACTCTTATTCAAACCGAGTTAGAAGGCTTTTGCATATTGCAAGGTTGCTTCTAGGGAATTTGTATGTGAGTTAAGTACACTAGACTTCCTACAATTGATATGAGAACATGTCCTATGCTTCTTGAAAACATACACCGGAACTTTCAAGAATGAACCACAACCAAAGTCACCTTTGTCCATGGCCTATCTACGTCATAGGCTTAATACACTGTCAGCGTGAACAACCCTTCTGGGGACTCAATTGACTTACCGGTATTTCCTGCAGGCGTCCATCGAAAGTCATACATGCCGTTAAACGGGCGAACCCCGATATTTCCTCCTATTTCTATATCTCCTCGAGACTTGAAGGACAGTTCGGTCTGCAACGCATCTGTGTCAGGATTGCACCCGTATACGACATCATAAACAGCACGTGGATCTCCACGTTCAGTCATGAACATCTTGGTCGTATTATCTTTCACCTCATACTACATATTTATGATTTGTTAGCGGCTATCTAGGTAGGTAGGTAGGTAACTATGAAACATTGAATATCTGGTAGATTTACCTCCCCGTTGATGACTGCGCGGCGAGGAGGATCCCAAGGTAAAGTGATCACGCCGTCGACGAGTGTAAGCTGGCTCGTGGAATTTCCGGCGGGACTAACGAAAAGATGTTGGTCACCGCCACCCCAGTCCCAGATATTCAAGAAATGGTTATGGATGTCTGGAAACGACGCATTCTGTATCTGAAGTGCGAAGGCCTCGGTAATACTGTTCGAGAGTGGGCTTGTAGGAACATCACATGCCAGGATAGTGGCAGCAAAGATGAGAATAAAAGAGGTAGGCAGCATCATCTTAGGGATTTACTTGGAAGCAGACGTTAAAGCTACTATATTTCAATATCACTTTTATCCCGTCTTACTTGTGCTATAATATATAGGTGAGTTTCAAAAGTCTTAAGAAGCCAGCTGAAAAAGAACAAAATGTCTTTCGTATTTGCCAAGACTTTATACGAGGGCATGCATCGGGTTGTACAGAGAGGTTGTATTATTGCTATGTCATTATGCTGCAGGATTGGATCTAGACGCTCGATAAATCTTACTTGCAGAAAGTAAAGTAATACATGTCGTTACTTTTAACTACTTACCTTATGTACTTAATTTCCGTCAACCAGTCACCTGGGTATAAACTTCCAATAAATGGTCGCTTCATTAATCTTTCCAACAATCCAAATTCCCCGGCCATCCCGCTGCAAGGGTCAAATTTGCGCCGTATTACGCTTAATATATGATGTTACATTAAAAATGATATGTCTTTAATGACAATGCTTTTCGCTGTATAATGTAAAGGTATCTAAGTAACTTAACTACATGTAATACATGTAACTATGTACTTAGCTTCTTAACTATTCTCTTCACTACCTTAGGTACCTAGTTAGATATTAAAAGCGGCTTACATGTAATGAACTCTTGATAAGTGGCTAGCTTTCTAAGAGTCAATTCTTTTATACGTGTATGTAAGTGCTTTCATATTCTCTTAATATCATTTGCAATTGATATAGTGCTGTTTACCGAGTTTCGCACCTTTCGGGCGCTGCGCTTTCATTACATCAGGAAACGTGCAAGACTAAGGAATATCTCCGAGCCAATAAAAAAAGTTACGAGGCGTAAAAGTTACTAAAAAGCGAAGGAATTATGAAACTTTATAAAAGTTTGAAAATACTTAAAAATGGGTGGGAAACGCGTCAGTGCGGAAGTATTTCGGATCAATCTTTAATTAATGCGCAGCGCCTAAAAGGCGAGAGATTCGATAGACAGTGCCAATAATAATACGACAACTTGTGAAATCTTTGTATTACCTAATAAGCTATTGGTTTATACATATAAGGGGTCATCTTTACCGTACATCCTATCCAACCCAAAACCTCAATTGACACACCGTTATTCACACTTGTATTTACGTCACCGATACGTGACGGATCGTACGTGATACGAGGTACCTGTTATTACTATCAATTACCTAGCTTTGGCTTCATGATGGCTTCTGCAACAAAGCTCCGGAAAAAATAGCCCCGAGATTTCTACTCCCGATCTTTAACCCAATAGGCGTAATGTTGGATCTTTTATCCATTGCAATTTTGCCACTTTTTAGAATTACTTTCAAGTGTTACTTACAGTAGCCCAGATAGTTATCAGGTTCCTTTTTACCTTATAAGGTAATCATATACCGAAGTAGGTACCGAACATACGTAAATACCTTATGGTTATTAAAGAACGTAGTCTGGAACTTAGTGTCGGCATACAATAGGGCTACCCTGCAGAGTACCTAGTCACTATGTAGATACCAGGTCTATAAAAAGACTACGCCTCTCTCCTGTTCTTGGAAGGACATGGGTCAAGACAGTCACCGGTATGCCACTAGGTATTAGTGGGCCCTTACTTTTTACTTCCGTGTTGCACGATCCACGACACTTGATAAGTAAATGCATCTATCTCTTAATTTCCCACAGATGCGGTCAGCTAATCAAACGCTCGTAATAGGCGCTTCGGCCCTACGAGAAACGCCACGGCGCTAGCGGCTACTGATGCCGTATTTACCAGTACATATGTAATCCGTACATAGGTCGTGAATCTCAAAGCCATCGTGTAAGCGAACAAAGTCCCGAATTACTTGATTAAGTAATCAAAACAGGAATTTTGCTTTTTTTTTTTTCATGGCCAATGCCTCGTTTAGGAAATGCCCAACTTCGGTTAGGAAGCCCCAGGTTCTGAAACGAGCTTGAAAGGGCAAATGGGACTCCGAGGCAAGCTTGGCAAAAGCTGCCCCACGGCGGGCGGTCAGAAGTTAGATTCTAGAACGAGGTATGATGTCTTGGTAAAGAATGTCTCGTAAACGAAAGAAGACGGTTCAAATCTTAAAGAACTGTATCAGAAACATCCCGTCTCTCTATAACTTAAGAAAAGGCTCGGTTTTAATAGTGAACCATCTATAATCACTCGAAACGATCTATATACAGATTATATTCTGAAACTATCGAGTTGATTTCGCGGAATTTGTATAAATTACTAGGGAATGATACGAACTAGCGGGAAACAGTACCGGGAGACCCGAAATTCCAGGATAATCTAGCTCATTTACCAAGGCTGATGCGAAGACGGCCATCTTCCCCTTGATCGGGTAAAATGTGATCTTGGAAGTCCACTTCGTATTACGTAGTCTCTACGAATATCTAGCTCACCTTAGCTGACTACCCCCTAGCATTCACCATGTTATGCGGAAGATAACATAAGCTCACCGATAGTCGAGAGTATTCAGAATGTGATCACTCGGCGAGTTAACGAGTTAATTATTACGCGCAGAACTACAAATTTATCTTATACCTAGGTACTCTACCGTTGATACAGTTAATAACTCTTCGTTCTACCTACCTAGGTACCTATCTTAGTGTTTTGAGAATGAGCCTTCTAACAGAGAGTATACTCCTATATCATACCATTAAGCACTGTATAAGTATATACTCCATCTCGCGCTAAGTACGCACAAAGGTCCCGGGGCTGTTTTAGAGTTTGATCAGACCACCTAGAGGTCAAACTTTCCATAGGAACTCGTAGTTTCCACCAGGTATAAACATGTCCAATGAGAGTTAACTAGATACGCGATAGTTCGGAGGCTTAGTTTCTCTTAGGGGACAAGGATAGGGCTACCTAGATGTCTCACTATGAATATTTCTCTCTCCCCATACTCACGCGGGTATGCCTATATATAAGGTAGTTGGAGGTATCGACTTTCTCTAATTAATGTCATTTTATCTACCCTTATTACTATATATCTTTACATCTTGATCTAAAATTGAGGATATACTATATTATCTAACGAGTTCTCCTTTACTACCTAAATACCTACAATACGCTGCCATGCCTCAGCAACAAGTGTTTCATCTTCATCCACATGGCTGGGAGGATGACCCAGAGGAAGAGAGATATAAGGTTTCGACACTTGACTACCTATCCGGTCTTCGTTATAACAATTATGCTCTATTCTTCAGACTGGAGGACGGAGCCAAAAGACGAGTGGCTAGTATTCTAAAGCAAGGCCTCGAACGCACTATTAGTCAAGCACGACATGTGTGTGGAACGATCGAAAGGGACTCAGAAGGAGGACATTCTTTTGTGAAGAAGCGAGACAGTACAGTACAGTTTGTTGTTCAGTGGCTCGACTCGCCTTATGACAACTACCCATCGTTCGATGATCTCTATGAGTCACATTTTAGCACAATCACACTAGGACCACTGGATCTCTGGAGCGTCTATCCCATGACGGCTGGAGATAAGCCTGAAGCACATCCAGATAATAGTCCCGCTGTCTCGGCTTTTAAAGCAAACTTCGTTCGAGGCGGGCTTGTTTTTAATATGCATCACCATCATTACGCCAATGATGTTCTTGGTTGGACTGCGTTCACTCATCAACTAGCCGAGAACTGCTACGCTCTTTTTAATGGGACTTCATTCCCTACATGGGATCCTCTATACCTGGACCGCTCGCGTGTAACCAAGAACGAAGTCCCTGAAGAAGTTAGGGTCGAGGGGCCTATCCAGCAAGAACGTCACCCTGCCCATACTACGGGCGTAGTGCTCCTCTTCCATTTGTCCAAGAGCAAAGCTATTGAACTGAAGAAATTGGCAACGCCAACCAATGGCTCTCGGATATCAACCTACGACGCATTTTCTGCCTTTATATGGCGCACACTTTCTCGACTTCGGGCCCCCGTGTTCATGCCTGATCCCTCATCCAACTTATTCTGGGCCGAGGCCGTTGATATGCGCCGACGCTTCCACAGCCCCGAATGCCCAGAGCGTACGCAGGGCAATATTATGTTTGCGGTCCGGTCCACAGCAGCTCCAGTCCAGCAACCAACAGTGGCTGAAGTTATCTCAGAGTGGCCACTATCCAAATTGGCGTCGTATATTCGCAAACTCACAAACTGCGTCACGCAAGAAAATCTTGACAAGACATTAGACGTTGTGGCGCTGATACGGGACAAGACGGCGCTGAATGCTCGTGTCGACTCCCATCCGCCCATGTCGATTCTGCAAACTGACCATCGTCGCGCAAATGTTGCTGCAGCCGACTTTGGTTTTGGGAAGCCAGTTACGTATCGGCACCTATGGGATGATATATCCGTAGGAGTGATCCTTATTTACCCACCACGCTCGACAGCCCCTGATTCAGATGAAGGCTGCGAGTTTGCTATTATGTACGAGAAGAACTTGGCTAAAACGTTGATCGAAGACCCTGGGTGGAATAAATATTTCGAGTATAGGGGGATCACTGCTGAGCACCGTTGTGGCTAACCTGTTTTACAGTATGTAATTATTAAGAGATAGTCGAAAATGTCGTATTCTAGCGCCGAATATATTGGGTATTAAAAAGCTTGGAAGGCGTCTGCTCTCCAATATAGTAATCCAATGTGCTACCTAAGTATTGTGTTATTAGCAATGTTGTTTCCGGAGCGTGGTACTTACTATGCCCGGACTTCTGTCATTTTATGCGTCCAAAACGCATGCACTCAGCCCCTATTTCCCCGCCAGTGTATACGACCGATTGATCCCTGAGCTGGTTCCTAAATGGCCAAGCTTATATGATGAGATATTTTTTTTCCGATTCCGCGACCCATTTCATTGTGACTCATCGCCGGGTCTGTGATGTAGGACGGAAGTATTTTCATAAAATTTGGAGTTTGGAGTTTGGAGTTTGTATTTCAAATTTTACACTTCAAGGACTTTAAGTCTGGAGTGAAAATGAGCCAAACCAACGTACCCGAAGACGTCAAAGAACGCATCAAAGCGTCCTACGACACTATCGCACCGAAATATAACGAATGGACGGTGAAACACATTCCTCTGCGGCAGGAGTATGCAGCAAAAGTCTTTGGGTTTCTATCTGCTTCAGGTTCTTCGCAACAACCCCGCTTCCTCGAGCTCGGCTGCGGCGCTGGACTGCCCATCACACAAAAGCTTCTATCGTGCCCAGAAGCTCATGTTACTGCTAATGACATATCGACCACCCAGATCGAACTTGCAAGGAATAATCTACTCGGGGCTGCAGAAGAAAATGCTGGAAACTCGGGACGTTTGACTCTCATCGAGGGAGATATGACAAAGCTCTCATTTGCCGACCAATCCTTCGATGCTATATTAGCCTTCTACAGCTTGATACACCTCCCTCGTACAGAACAGACCGAGATGATTGGAAAGATTGCACGGTGGTTGAAGCCAGGCGGCTACCTAGTTGCCAACTTTGCTGATAGTGACATGGAGGCAGTTGTAAGGGAGAAATGGCTTGATAAGAATGACTGGATGTTTTGGAGTAGCTGGGGTAAAGACGAGACGTTGAAAATAATAGAGGAAGCCGGATTGAAAGTCGTAGTCAGCGACGTAAGGAAGGATGAGGTTAATTCTTCGTTTCTTTGGGTCGTTGGGAAGCGATAATGTGATTTAAGGATGATATTGCTCCTATCTATTGGCGGCTTTTTAGTCTGTGATTTGGTAGGAAGTTTTGCGCTGCATTTTATCATCCGATGTACCTAACGAACGAACTATGATCTGTTTTATTCTTAGGTAGTTTCCCCAGCTCCAAACTTTGAAGGAGCCGTGGTTAAGCCCTATATAATTAGTAATGATTGTATTGGCCTTGTAGTGATGATATGATAGCATTTAGGCTAACCTCCTATAAATTATTTATCAAACTTTCAAATTCGAATCGTCTCCAGTTATATTCCGGTAATCTTTTTGTTGATGGCATGACGGCTCATGTAAGATAACTTTAGCTGAGGAGAAGAAAAGGGGCGTTGTTAATTGTCGTATATTTAACGTCGTAGAATTTGAGTATTAGGGCGTGCGGCTTATGGGACTCGGGTACTTCTCATGTTTATCTATATTTGTGTTTCATTTAATGATACAATAATAGCGGGATCGTAATCAAATATTGGCACGAAAGAAACCAAATAGGTATTTAATAGACCCATGACTTTACCGAACCCGTGATTTTGATTGCGGACCAAATAATGAGAAGTATCTCAGCTCCTCCGGTGAGAATTTATCGTATGGCTTCAGAGAGCATATGTTTTTCACGAAGCTGAAGCCGGGGCCATCAGAAAAATGACCAAATTCTATCATGGGAGAAAAGGTATTAGGAAGAGGATTCCAGCCTATTCCTAAACATAATTAGTCATAATCATCCGCTTTTTAGAGAACATACCTACATTTATTTGGTTGTGAGCTGAGCCCGCCCGGTCCTCCAAGCTCTCCAGAATTCTGCTTGCTATTGCTCGGAATGCCGAAATTGTACATCACCGGCCCTTTAGATACCGGCTCGGTGGAATTTTTAAATAGTGAGCTTTGGTTAGTAGGTAACGGTGCTAGATTTGCAAATGGCTTGGTAAATGGACTGCCAAGTGAAGCAGCAGAAGAATTTTGGGAGGAGCCTGAAACCCCAGCATTGTTTGGCCCAGCCGAGAATAGTGAAGAGGAATTCGGAGGGTTCTTATCACTGGAACTGGTGCTACTAAATAGTCCACTCTGCTTTTGTGTGATAATTGGGATTCCTTGAGGCGCGGGTGCATCCTTTGAAGTATTTGCGGCTCTTGGAGCCTCCGGGCTGGCTAAGATCGAAGGCATAACTGACGTCCCAAGTATTAGTGTTTAAATCTAATATTGTAATGGTTCGAATAATTACCAGTTGATTTCCGCTCCTTAAATTTGTTACAGATCTGCAATCCCTTCTTAAGAGCGTCATATTCCGCCTGCAACTCCTTGCGCTCCGTTTGAACTTCTGGTGACTCTGATGCAAGTCGCTCAAGTTCATTGTCCTCCATCCCATTGACTCTAGTTGTGGTGAATATTGAAGGAAGATCTCTCATGAGGCAGTTCTCGACAGCTAAAACAACTACGTTATCGGTGAAGGTCCGAAGCGACATCTATATGTATCTAATGTTAGGTAGCACCGATAGTATTGAATTGAAAGTATAGCTTTACCTCGTAATATGTTTCAGATTTGTCAATCAAGTTGTCCACCCCAAATTCGCTCACAGGTTTGGACCGTTTTGCTTTCTCGAGTTCCTTACGCGCCTCTTCTGTGAAGAACTCGGGTCGACTTGCCATCAAGTCTTGGAGGATATCAACTCCGACATTTTTCTGGCGTCTCTGCGCAAGAAGGACCCTAAACTCGGCATCAAGAGGTTGCGGATGGCCGCTTTTGTAGTGACGGAGAAGTTCCTGAAGTTTAGATTCAAGTACATCAGACTTTTCTTCAAAGAATGGATCTATTATTTCAGTGAGAATCGCTGAGCAAGTCCTTTTGTCTGGATTTATAATATGTCCCACGAGCTTCTCAACGAATTCTTTAGCCATGTCTAGCACGAGCCGTATGTGACAACGTGCAATTTCCTCCCAAGGTTGAGACTGGTCCTGGAAAAGCTTCACGGCTAAGCGGTCGTTTGAGGTACCAGGGAACTCATTGCCCTGGTTGGCCGACGAAAGTGACTCTAGGTCATATGAAATCCTTTCAAATGTGATCTTTTCTGGATCCTTGAATTTGTATTGATTAGCTAATGGCTGAAGGAACGTCGGTAAGATCAATTTCTTCGGAAATTCCTCAGATTGCCCAAAAATGTGTGAAATATCACCAGTGACATGGTGTTGGGAGACTGGTTCAGTGGCATTGGAGCTCCTAGGGAGAATGATGCGTCTTGAACCTTTGGTTTCTAATATGTAAGCGAATGTCCGGTTTAAATCGCGTACAAGTGCTCGGAATTTTCTGACCCTGCTGTCATTAATTGTAGATAGATCGAATGCGGGATAGAGACCCCCGAAAAACTCATCGGTGTAATTCCCTTCCACGGCATGTAGACACAGAATCTGGAACTTGGAGGCGATTTTATCTAGGTGCGTCCGTAGTTCCTTTGGTGTTGACCTCGACTCTCCTAAACGTTCGAGTTGAGCCTTGCGAGCATTGATATTTTTCTCAATACTCTCAATGAGACCTTGAAGGTTGTTCTTGATATGCTGCAGGAGAATACCGCTCAGCTTCTTGCGAAGAGCTGCCACGCCTCGATTCTTTGAGGGCACACTCGACCACAGGCCTGATTCAAAAAAATTCATTTCTTTCTCGTCTCTCTGCTCATCCGTATCCGAAGCTTCCATTTCACCTCTATTACGAAGAACGTGCCACCCCAAGTATAGCTCATGCGACCTATCAAGATTTTTGGCCAATCGAATAAAATTATTCTCATCCTGAGTGTCAGATGTAAGAACATCTGGCTTTGTAATAATTCCGATAGTCCGTTCCTTGAACTTGTCGTGTAGCTTGACTTTGGATAGGACCTTCTGCAATATGATCTGATTGCGCGCCGAGATAACAGCTAGAATAATGCTGTTCTTGCGAGCCATGTACCTCTCCACCAGGCGGTCCACAATCTTGCGGCCAGCAGCCGACTGGTTCTCATCCTCTGAGTGGTAGAAGCCAGGAAGATCAACCAGTGTCAAGTGTGGGACATCGGGGCTCCTTATCTCGATTCTAAGAACATCTTCGGAGAAGCCAGCATCATTCTCGAGAATTTTCTTCTTGGCTTCTTCCACAATACGAGGCAGATCATCTTTATTAAAAGATCTCTCATCAAATGGAGGCGTAGGTTTATCGAGAACTGAATGTGGTAGAACGCGTACATCGACCTTAGTTTGACTATCGGTACGAAGAACAAGTTCCGTTGCGAATCTTGTACACAATCCATCTTTGACAGGGAAGCGTACTCTAGAGATGGCTTCAAGAACGGAGCTTTTCCCTGACGATTGATCTCCAACGACAATTATCTGGGGAAGATCAACGAAACGATCGATGCCATGTTTGCGAAGGTCGTCGATGGCGTCGAGGAGAGCCTTCTGCTCCCCGTGGAGCTGTTCGAGGGCCACCGAGTCTAAAGAGATAACTTCCATTGTAAAAACTGGGATAATTGATAATTGATGGGTACAAATGTGAATGAATAAGTGGGCGATTAACTCGGCTTTCCTTTATGTATAGGTAGGTAGTTGTACGGAAGTCCCTATCAAAAAAATTGTTCATAGGTTGGGACAGACTTCTAGCTTTATATTCATCGACAAAAAGTGACGCGTGATATCTGCAAGGTTCTTCTCCTGACAAACAGATCCTTCGTTTTAGATTATGCGTTTAATTTAGGTAGATTGCAGTTTCATCAAGCAAACCAACGTCGTTCGAGGTTGGTCCGGGTTGATTCCTGGTTGGTTGGACCCTTGTTCGGGTACCCGAACCCTCCCTTCGGGCCGCATCTTGGCTTGGGGAAACGCCGCTCGGCTTATAAATGTCGGGCGCTTCAGGGGCTCTTATTATTGGTCTTCTGATTCATATTAAGCGAATGGAACATATATCACAGCGCCAATCCATCCAATCGGATTGCATATCTACAAAAGTGAAGTGCGGTAATACCAATGATCACCTCTCTATCAATAGAATGTAGCAGTGCGAAAGGTGGATATCAGTCTTGCCGCTGCACAAAAAATCATAAGCTCATTTGCGACGAAACTATCGAGATACTTGTGCTGTCTGCGTAAACTCGACGGTCGCACCCTAAAGGGCGCAGCATACGCAGACAGCACAAGTAGCTATAAGCTCTTTATTCTATAGAAATGAACTTCATGAGTAAAAGAGGGCACCACGAGAGAGAATTATCATAAATTCGTTTAGAACGCATTTATATTCAGCTGTACTAACTCAATCTCAACTTCCTACCAACATGGTAACAGTGTTAGGATCTTAGGCGCGACATCGAGGAGCAAGGATGCATTCGGTGTGCATCGGTAGTTAGCCAGCCTCCATAGTCTACTTTGGGTTAAAGCTCCTTGCGGAACAACTAAGTTGTATCCATACCTTCTAGGTCCGCTTTTTGAAAGACGGTGCTTACTGATTTATCTCGGCATCATTTTGATTCGCCTTTCTTCCGGGATCCCTCCGGCCGGATGCACTTTCGTTAGGGTACTTCACATAATTTACATCGGAGGAAGAATATTTATCAGGACGAAAGCATAGTATATAAGGAGCCATTGAAAACACAACTGATTGGGGAGGAGAAATCGCCTAGGGTTAGATTCTCATTAGCAATTAATGATTAAGTGCCAATATTAAACTATACGAATACATAATTACCTACCTACTTCCGGTCAGTCCAGTAAAGATTCAAATATTGATAATCTCAACAATATACCTCTGGGTCCTCATGTGTAGCGGCAGGAGTGAAGTGGCTATATCTAAAAACCACTTAGACTATTTGATAGCAATAATAGTACTGATGTTAGATCTTAAGAGTATACTCTAAGTACGTACGTATATGTAGCATTTCGCTGTCCATAATACCTGGGAATAACCTCAGTATAGGCTCTTAGCCTCCACTATATTTCTAACATTCTGTCATGAGGTGGAACTAAACAGCATGGAAACAACTTCGTTGCTCCGCGAGGAACTCTAACCTAACGACGGGAGCCTATGGCTATACATACTAAATATATCCTTTGTTCTATATGTCTCATCTGTAATCCTGTCACTTTTGGTGAGATGAATCATTTCCAAGAGTGGTGAAAGAGTGGAAACTTTAGTAGAGGCGAAATTTAAGAGCGGTAAGTGTCGTATTGCCTTTCAACAAGGTGCTGCTATAAGCAAATCGGTTTCGTATTATTCTTGATCAAGTATCTAGCACCAACTGATATTCAGAATTGGCTACCTATAGGTAGGTAGGTAGATGCCTAGCCAATCATGTTGGGCATTTCAGATTAGTAACAGGTAGTTTACCCCTGGATTTCCTTACTGCTAGAATCGTAGTGGTGGGTACGTACCTACTTAGCGAACTCGAATACGAGAATGTCTTGGCATTATATTGCGGTTGACTTACACATACAGACATGAACGTACATAAGCTATCTACCTACCTATCTCACAATAAATTCAGAAGTAAATATATATAGAGATCCAATGTTATCTTCACCTAGGCTGATTATCTTCCATTCGCAACTTCGGATACAAATACGACGAAACCAAGTTTTATTGCGCCATGATAAACCTCAACACTCCTACACATAATGTGGCCTATGTCATCGCCACCTTGATTCTTACGATCGCCATCAACGTACTTTGGCAACTGTTGCCTCGGAGAAAATCAGAGCCGCCATTGGTATTTCATTGGATCCCCTTTGTCGGTAGTGCTATCTCATACGGATTGAATCCCTTCGAGTTCTTCACGAATTGTCGGAAACATCATGGCGACATATTCACCTTCGTGCTCTTTGGCAAGAAAATTACTGTCTACCTTGGAGTCGAAGGTAACGAGTTCATCTTGAATGGAAAGCTACGAGACGTCAATGCCGAAGATATCTACGGCGCACTTACTACGCCTGTGTTCGGCAAGGATATCATTTATGACTGCCCCAATGAAAAACTGATGGAACAGAAGAAATTCGTTAAATTTGGCCTTACACAGAAAGCCTTAGAGTCCTACGTACCATTGATCGAACAGGAAGTTCTCGAATATATAAAAGCCTATCCCAGTTTCAAAGGTTCCTCCGGAATAGTCGATATACCAGCCGCTATGGCAGAGATCACCCTCTTCACTGCCAGCCGCGCCCTCCAGGGAGCCGAAGTACGAAAGAAACTAACGGCTGAATTTGCCGATCTATACCATGACCTCGACCTAGGTTTCCAGCCGATTAATTTCCTCATGCCATGGGCGCCTCTTCCACAGAATCGGCGGCGAGACGTGGCGCATGCCAAGATGACTGAAACCTATCTAGAACTAATTAACAACCGTCGCGCCGATAAGAAGAGCAAGGAGGCCAGTGCCGACACCGACGGAACCGACATGATTCTTAACCTTATGGGTTCTATCTACAAAGATGGACAGGTTCTTTCCGATGAGAATATTGCCCACTTGATGATCACCCTTTTGATGGCGGGACAGCATTCTTCATCGTCCTCAAGCGCATGGATCATGCTTCGCCTAGCATCACGACCAGACATCGCTGAGGAACTATACCACGAGCAAGTAAACAATATTCACTATACCGGCCAACCACTCCAATACTCCGACCTAAGCAAGCTTCCTCTACTACAGAATGTCGTCAAGGAAACGTTACGTGTCCACTCCTCCATCCATTCGCTTATGCGGAAAGTCAAGAATCCGCTGCCAGTTCCTAATACCGAATACGTCATCACCCCCGACAAAGTCCTCCTAGCCTCGCCCATCATGACGCATCTGAACGAAGAATACTTTACGAACCCGTTGGCTTGGGATCCGCACCGCTGGGATAATATCGTCGAGGTAGAAAACAAGGAGGACATGGTTGACTACGGCTATGGCGCTATGTCAAAGGGAACAAAGAGTCCATACTTGCCCTTCGGCGCAGGTAGGCATCGGTGCATTGGGGAGAAGTTTGCGTTTCTCAACCTGGTCACGATAGTCTCTACCCTCGTTCGAAATTTCAAGTTCACGACGATTGACGGCAAGTCTTGGGTACCCCCGACAGATTACACATCGATGTTCTCGCGCCCTGTCCAGCCAGCCAGTATCCGTTGGGAGCGTCGTTTTCCCGAATCTTCCTAGAAGAACATTGTTAGTTTGATGCTATTTTACTACATTTGAGACTGTGATATCATGATGGGACAACCTTGGCATCGGTAGAATATAGAATATAACTATTATATAATAAACTAAACTTCTCATTCTTTAATATCTGTGATCCGTAGTGGTTGAACAGCCGCCTTTTCTTTTGACAATGATATACCACCGTGTGGCCCCTAGTTTACTATCTCGATGGACTCCAAGCACAACACAATCATTCCACAATTTGGCTTGTATCAGTCATTTATTGTGATTTTAAAATACCTGCTCTTATTGCAAAGCCACCATGGATCCCCCATTTTTCTCATTTTTTGATTTTTTAATAGTGTATAGCAACAGAGCCGCATGGTAAATAACGCCACCCCCTGCCCCTTTATTAAACCCCACTCTAACCCTCCGGGGTCTCGGAGCGCAATGCTCCGCAATTCGCGGAACACCTTCAATCGTCCGATGCGTCTAGATGTCTCGCTTGAAGATATGTAGCGGTGGAAGCATTGTGTGTTCCCGGTCGTGGGTTTATAAATGGCTCGGGCTACCCATATCATAAATATCGGTTGTGTCTTCGACTCTTCTCGTCAAGGCACCGTCCCATGTTACTACGGAGCAATATGTACTCCACACTACGGTCTGCCTTCAATTGGCTTCTAGCTACCGCCCCTATCTTTACACAGGGCGCTTCCCTCCAAAAAGTCACATCTGACTTTGGGCCAAACCCAAGGAATGTCGGTTTCTACATTTATGTTCCAGACAAATTGGCTGCTAGACCGCCGGTTCTCGTCAATCCTCACTGGTGCCACGGCGACGCGCAAGCTTGCTACTCCGGGTCTCAGTATTCGACTCTAGCTAGCAAGTACGGGTTCATTGTCATCTATCCTGATAGCCCAAATACGGCCGATAAGTGCTGGGATGTGTCTTCTAACGAGACTTTAACACACGATGCTGGAGGCGACAGCTTGGGTATTGCTAGCATGGTGCGATGGACGCTCGACAAGTATAACGGCGATCCGAATCGTGTGTTTGTTACTGGTATTTCCTCTGGGGCTATGATGACCAGTGTGTTACTCGGAGCATATCCCGATATTTTTGCTGCGGGATCTGCATTTGCCGGCGTGCCGTACGGATGTTTTGCCGGGAACGGCTTTGGTGTTTGGAGCGATGCTTGCGCTACAGGGAAGGTCAAGAAAACTGGCACTGAATGGGCCGCATTAGTTAAAGCAGGGTATCCAGGTTATACTAGGTGGCGGCCCAGAGTTCAGATCTTCCACGGAACGAGCGACGAGGTGCTCAATTATACAAATTTCGAAGAGGAGATCAAAGAATGGACTACGGTGTTTGGGTTTAATGAAACACCCACGAGCACAACGCCTAATACTCCTATCAGGGGATGGACGAAGTATGTATACGGTAGCAATGATTGGCTCGAGGCATACAGCGCTGCAGGAGTTTCACATAACATTCAGAACCAAGAGGCCACCGCTATGGAATGGTTCGACCTTACCTGTACAAGCGATGACTGCTTTAAATGGGGACAAGGAGGTCCAAAGGCTCGGTAGTTGAATAAGATAATATGTTAGGTAGTTGGTCACTACCTATTTTCTCTGATTCTCGTAGTTAGACTAGACATATCATCTCACATGGCCTTAATTTAACTACGCGATAATACAGCCATCATATGGATAATTAACAATATAGTTGATTCAAAGAGAGAAATAAACCTTAGCCATCCAAAGCCATCCTATAATACAAGGTAATTTCGTATTTTCCCTCATCTAATTACTCCTGCTACCTTGACCCCCGAGAGTTGACTGTACGGATCCACCGACACTACCCTCCGTAGTAAACTGTTTTCCAACCATACCCTCTTTATCCAAAGGCCCACCGATCTTCTGTGCTGTACCGCCAATCGCTCCGTCTTCTACATAATAAGGATCAGTCTTTCCATCGCGAAGTAAAAAGGCATTCCATTAATCCTTACCGGTAAATTGTTTGCCAATAGAGCCCTGGGCATCGAACATCTTGGGTTTGTCCTCGCCGATGCCAGCAGTGGCGGGTGTCTGTATTTGTGAAGACATTCCTGTGGCTGTCTTAGAGCCAGTATTGGAGCTACCGTGTGATGACATTATGTATAGGTAATCTTACAATTTAGACTTGTAATTTGAGTCTGCTTGGAATTACTTAATGAAAATGATAATTTAATATGAAAGACTTGATGTTTGGCCATGGGTTTCCTTTAAGTACGTTTTGAGAATACAAAGTTAACTAGGAGATAGTCGGGCCTTGACGCTACAGCAAATCTATGAGGTCATAATTTCGTACTTTGGGATCAGCTATGTCACCACTCACAAGATTAGCCACTAACTCCATATCTACTCCCATATTCAAATAGTCTACAAATTACACATGATATGTAGTGTCTCTGGTTGTAGAATTAGTATAATAGGAAACTTTAACAACGAGATGTTATTGCTCTTCCTATTCAACTTTCCACTATGCTTAACAGTAATCTCAAGCCTATTAGAGTGCAGATTAAACCCCTCTATAAACCGGTGAGTTTTCTTTCCGTTTCTAGCTAGGATCTTTATACTTTGCTCCTTCAAGAAAGGTTTAAAATCATTAAATAGACAGTAGATCTTAACCTAGGTCCTTGGGGGTGACGTAAAAACTCTTAAACGATGCTTGACCTAAATAAGGCAATCTATCCCAATGGCGCATGGTAAATCGTCGAAAGCATACCGGAAACATGTCGCTATCATCGTAACCTTCTCATAAAGGAAAGTAGGTGAAGAGGTTCCGTATAATTAATAGAATGAATAAGTCTTGTTCAATAGTCCTACTCAATAACTCGATATATCATCTAATGCCTTATATCCGTGGTTAATATTGCATTAAAGGAACTTGAAATAAGAGGTACCTATCAACCTTGATAGAATTATCATGAATTATGTACCTTTGGTATGTAGGTACCTAAATCATTTATTATTATCAACTATTTCCTTCTCAGTTCTTCATATATATATCTACTAAATCTTTGATATCTTGTGTATATGGCAGTTTTCTGGCATAGAAATACACTAGATCACAACAGCGACGAACTGTATCCGGAATGGAACGCCTACTCCTTTCCATCTAGGCGATTATCTCCTCGCCTCGGTACGTAAATAAGACTACCTGCTTACTATAGGACAGACTTGCGAAGCTCACAAGGGTATTTCCTAATGTGTACTCCAACACCACCACTTTCATTTTTTCGCACTGATCTATTGGTAGTCTTCCAAGTGATGGATTCGAACCTAATAAACTAGTGGCTATATAAATTAAACGCCGATAGTAATCTCCGTCGTACGAGAAGCTTGATTTCAAAGCATTGAACTAGTATATCTAGACTGTTAGGATCTTTCTAGATCGGGCCACAAGATAACTCACTTTCTCAACTTTACGTTCCCGACCTAATATTAACGTATTTAATTAAAATTATGCCTCCTCCAAAGGGTACTCCTAACCCTCTAGAGGGTCCAGGTACGTTGAGAGATCATAGGTACTAGGCGCGAGACCATTTCGAGTGTTAAATGCACGCTTAGGTGACTATGACGTAACCTCCGTGGTGCACAACGACACATATCCCGCGATTGATTCTGCCAAGGCAAACTTGAGCGGTAAGGCCGTCCTTATCACCGGTGCTTCCAAAGGCTTGGGTAGAGCGATCTCCGTCTCGTTTGCCAAGGCCGGCGCGTCGATGATCGCAATCGGGGCCAGGTCCGATCTTTCAACTACAATCGACGAGATTAAAGCAGCAGCCGAGAAGGTGGGAAAACCGGAGCCGAAAATCCTAGCTCTTAAGCTTGATGTAGCTGACCCCAAGAGCGTCGATGATGCGGCAGCCCAAGTTAAGGAGAGCTTCGGACGCATGGATATCGTTATTAATAACGCTGGCATCTTTGATGTAGCCAAGATTCTAGATACCGACCCCGAAAAGTGGTGGAATATATGGAGAGTGAACGTTATGGGACCATACAACACTACGCGCTCCTTTCTACCACTACTATTTGAGGGGAGTAACAAGACAATAGTCACATTAAGTAGCGTTGGCGCTCATTTGGTAGTGCCGGGAGTCAGCGCATACCAGCCCTCTAAGCTAGCAGTGCTTCGTCTTTCCGAATTCATCTCGGCAGAGTATGGCGACAAGGGCATAGTCGCGTACTGCATACATCCGGGAAATATTCCAACAGATATGGTTGCCGGTATCCTGGCTCCTGAGGTTCCTGAGATAAGGGGAGGTAAGATCCAGTTGTTCTACTAAGTGAGATAGAATGGAATATAAGCTAATGCAACTATCCCATTGGTAGCATTTGTCGAAACGCCGGAGTTAAGCGCAGATTCTTTGGTGTATCTGACATCGGAGAGGCGGGATTGGTTGGCAGGCAGATATATCAATGTCACTTGGGACCTGCCGGAATTGATGGAGAAGAAAGACGAGATCGTTAAAGGCGATAAGTTGAAAGTGCGACTAGTTACCTAATATAAATTGCGTAGATAGCGGCAAGACGGCACGGCACCGTTTCCCGATATCAAATTGATACAAGTAACAACGACCAATTGTTTTTCTTTAGGCAAAGTCGCAAGTCCCACCCCTTTTTTTACCTTTGCTCCATAGGGCTGAGACAGGGGCTTTTAGCTTTGCTGATCTCAGCTGAACTTGTCAATCCTCGATTTACGTAAGCTCATCCTTTCCCCTAAAACAATTAACCTAAACACGCGGCCCGCCGTCTTTTTCTTTTATTTCCTTTCTCCTCAGATATCAGGCATCGTTGCTTTAAAAAAAATAACACATTTCAAAATGACAGAGTCTCTCGTATCCCGGTTCGCCAAGTTGAACCCTCTATCGAAACTTTCTGCTGGGGTCTACGATGAGGATGTTGGAGAAGAAATCGACGAAACCACCATTGCGGGGGGAGGCCACGGTGCGCGACAAACGACTATTACCAAATCCCAGTTGCGGGTTAGCCACGCATTGAAGTCGTTCCTTGTAAAGAACAATGTACTATCCGAGGAAGAAGCAAGCCTAGAGTCGGAGCAGCCTAGCACCGCACTACGAGCATTGCTTGACAAGTCGCACATCGAAGTGCCCTCTATAGTGACGGACAGATCCTATCCACTCCCGGAGTATTTTATAAGCTCTAGCCATAATACATATCTTCTAGGTCACCAGCTTGTTGGCAAGTCTTCCGCTAACGCTTATGAGACCGCGCTCAACGCCGGATCTCGGTGCGTTGAAATTGACGCCTGGGATAATGAGGACGATAAAGATGAGCCTAAGGTTACGCATGGGTACACGCTTGTTTCCCATATCCCATTCCGTGCAGTATGCGAGACAATACGCAATGTTGTTGACCGGGAAGCGACACAGTCTAGCAACACGGACGGATACCGGGCGGCACCAATCATGCTCTCTCTAGAGAACCACTGTAGTGTATACGGGCAGCAGAGACTCGTTGAAATCATGAAAGAAGTTTTCGGTCATCGTTTACTAGACAGAGCTATCCGGGTAAAAGGCCACCAGGAGCAGGCGGGGGACAGTGACCCGGTCACGTTAGCGGAACTGGGATCGAAGATAGTTCTCATTGTTGAATACCACTTACCTGAGGAAGCAGACACAAGTGATGATGACAGCAACCCCAACTCTGACGATGATGAGGTGAGACGGGCACAAGAAGCCTATCAGACCAAAAAGAAAGAATCTACCCCTACTATAATTGTCCCAGAGCTTGCGGAGCTAGGTATTTATGCCCAGTCCGTGAAACCGAGAGACGATTCTTGGCTTGAAGGTGTTCTGAAGGACGGTCCCAGAAACCACTTAATCAACGTCTCAGAAAGTGGACTGGCGTCATACATGCCGGCAGCGAATCAGATGATTGCACGGCACAACTCTCGGCATTTGATGCGCGTCTTTCCAAAGGGTACGCGTATCTCTTCGAAAAACCTCAAGCAAGTTCCGTTCTGGGGTGTTGGAGCACAGATCTGCGCGATGAACTGGCAGACTTTCAATGCTAGCATGCAGATCAACGAAGCCTTATTCAGCGGCACTGACGGCTACGTCCTAAAGCCTGCAGCGCTACGAGCGGGCGGTAGCATGAGCCTCAACACTGGTAGAAAGAAAAGGCTAGTGCTGCACGTCGCGGGAGCATCAGATATACCCCTACCAGAAGGCCAGGAAGAAGATGATGTCAAGCCATATGTTACCTGCACGCTTGTTCACACAGATGAGTTAGACGGAAACCATCCCAAGAGCAAGACAAGCCCCTACAAACACCACAGGCTAGGATTCCTCCATAGGGGCGAGAACCCCCCACCGACCGACCCGATCTGGGATGAGACACTTGAGTGGGAATATGAGGACAACGAGCTGGTTTTCGTCCGCATTCTACTCAAGAATGACGCTAGCTTTGCAGAAAATCCCGTCTTCGCAGTTGCGGCCGTGAGACTCTTATACGTGGTTCCTGGCTGGAGTTTTATTCGTATGCTGGATTTGAAAGGCCGGGAGACCAAGTGTTCGTTGCTGGTGAAGTTTGACGTAAGCGACATCTGAATCTAATAGTAGCGAGCGATGTCCTGATAAGAGGCTCCCGAGATGGCATGTTAGTATTGGACAGGTCATACGCTACCGAGGTAGGTATGTCAGTAGCCTCCCTAGATATTATGAAATAACAGATGGTTTATTAAAAGCTCTTAGTTGAATTTCGTAATATATTTTCATGCCCCTAAGCCACTAATTAGGTGCATTCAAAACGCATTACTATAGAAATGACTGGAGTAAATTCCAGGTTCTACATTTCTTTGGCTGTTGTGACTTAAGCCAGGGTTGGAGTTATCCATACCATGTCCGTCATGATACGCATGATCCGTGTAACGAACTTATGTACGGAAATATATGCAGAATGTCATTAGCTTATTCCGATTAGATTATTTTGGTTTTCTATCTTATATGAATGCTGCAGAGAGGAAATGATATCAACCAATGACCTTTGAGTAGTAATATGTATAACCTAAGGCGTCGATAATGGCGTTTTCTCTTTCAAATACATCCAGATCGACCTACGTCATATCGATCGCACGAGACTTTACTTATATGCGGCATCTTATCTTCCCAGTGTAGTTTAGCAACGGTATCAAACTATTGGCTCCATTCTCCCCTTACGCTTAGCAGCCACAAGGTTGGTGATACAAATAGTTGAACCGAGGGTGATACAGTTCCAACTGGTTACGTCATAGATCGCTAGGGATGGTTGAAGTTATAAAGCGATGTGTTACAGGCATACGCATACTTGTTAGTCATTAGTCTAATATCACGCTCTTACTCCTATTTAGCTGTGATACCATTAGCAAACAGAGAAGATTTCATTGGACTAAGAACAGATAAGAGTCGCAATCTATTGCCTTGTCATGTATATGATCGCTTGTCGTTAAGCAGCGGGAAGATAACTCAATAATGATTAAATTCGTCTTTAGCAATAAGTGAGTGGATATATGTATGGAATACTTTGAATATAATACTTAAGAAGTGAATGTGCAAGTACATCTATAACTCCGATCCTTACTCTAACCACCTATTGCATCAGTTCCCGGTTATTGAGCCAACAGCTGCTTAGTCGTGATCAAACGCCTTGTTATCGTTTCTGAGCGGTATTTCAGCGCGATCTGATCCAGGCGCTGTATCATCTATAAGTTTGGTGGTTAGTTGTCGCTTCGAAGAGTTGTATAGTTAAATGCCTTGATGAGATTGGGTGTAATATCTCCTTAGTTAGGAAAAGGCACTCTTAAATAAACTCTTGAACACTTACAGTATGAATACTTTTGATCTGCAGACTCAGTAGTCCTTGGACTAGTATTCTGTGCTCATCTAATGAATCCACCACGTAGCTTCCTAGTACTAAATTAGGAACAGCTAGCTGGGCAGTACCCCCAGGAGCCGGCGTTGAAGATAATAATTGTGAATAGGCACTCGAGATATCTTGACATGTCTTCCCAAGTTTCTCTATTAGAGACGTAAGAATGGTTATATTTTCAAAGTGAACCATGCAGATCTCGCAATCGATCATATCGTTTCCATGACGAAGGGCCTCTTTATTGGTGTTGAGGGCATTGTCCAGATTGTCAATCCTTATAGCAATTTTATCCAAATCGAAGATGATGAGGATGATTTTATGTGTGTGAAGACACTGGCGAGGATGTGTAATTTGATCTGTGTGTCTGCTTGCAACGTATTGCCATTCCTCGCAAGATCGTGCAAACTCGAAATGGCATAAGTATTCCTTTCCTACGTCTGCATTCAACTTCCCGTCCTTTGGCTCAGTGTTGGGAGACATCAAAGGCTCAATAACCGTATCATCCGGTTCAGTCAATTTTGACGCCGAGAGAAACATATCCGGCTCTGCAAATGGCCACTCTGGTGATCCTAACTGGTCCAAGTCCAGACCAGGCCCATATACCCCTTCCATGTTGCCAATGTTTGACTCTGAGGTCTCGTATTGATCTAAACCTGCCATATGGGTCAACTCCGGTATAGTGCCAACTAAGTACTCATCCCCTGAACCGAAAGGGTGAAGAGCAGTATCTACCGATAATAGAGAACCTGGATGTTTAGCTTCATGACGCTCCTCCAATATATCAGACTCGTTCCGTGATGTTGATAGACAAACTACCTGCTCGCGTGGCGGGACTATTTCAATGGGCACTCCCTTGATACGTGAATCTTGATAGGTGCATTGCCTTGAGAATAGTCGGCATCTCTCGCAACCTGTCCTCTCCTTGGTACATTTTAATTTTTTCGCTCGACACCGATTGCAAGCTCGTGTTCTGGTCGCTTTAAGAGTCACAGGGTGGAACATATACGAATTTTCCAATGGCACTAGGCTGCTGCTCCCCGAACCAACCTTCCACCTGTTCAACATGATTATCTTCAAAATAATGTTTAGTGTACCTAGGAAAAGAAATAGGTCGGAACAATCATTAACATACCATTGCTAACAAGTGATATATACAGTCTAATAATTGCAACTGTCTCCTTACATATAATAATTCTTATGCAGCAAGCAAGCCTCAAAGCCCGGACGTCACCGGACTTAAAACGGCGTTCTTCAAGCCATGTCATGTCCATCTAGGTAATATATGCATTAAGCATGGCGCTCTTGCAGTATCCCGGCTTGGCAATAAATCGAAGAAACAGCACGGAAAAGAGCGTAGTTACCTCCTATGCTTAAGGTAGGTAACGCCGTTTAGGTAGTATTAGACACGCTAAATAGATGCCACGGTGCACATTGTCGTCATATTACTTTAAAATGGAATTAAATATCGACTTAAGAAAGTGGCTATTTAATTATGATATTAATAACAGGTGGCGTATCCTTCTATATCACCTACCCGGGTACATATTTATATTCTTTTAGCGCTTCCTTCAGTTTACCAGGTAATCCAAATAGGCATTTCTCTGAATTGATGATTAGATACGTTAATTATTTATCATAAACCAGAAGCCCTTATAGCTAGTTCTATATGCGATATACAGATAGATACTAAAGGTGACAACTATTAACCTACGGCTCTACTTACTCTCTCTTAATGTACATCTACTCAATTATCTATCACAGGTAGATAATAATACCATAACATGACTGGATCTACATCTAGTTCTCGGGAAATCATACAACCTATACACTATATTTTTAGCAAAGCCCTTTATCGTATACAAGCTATACATAGGTACCTATATACCACTATGAATCTCAGGGATAACATCCATGCTATTGAACTTGGTTTGTTGAAAACGCTATGCGCCGTAAAGCCGTGGTCATTCGTTGAAAACGCCGAATCCCGTAGAACCACTGAGAACCCCAGATTAACCAAACTACGCCTTAACCATCGCTTCTATAATCCCGTCGCCATCGTACTGAGGTGGCGGCCAAAATTTAACAACGTCAAATCCGGCCTTCTCGAGTAGTTCTCGCCATTGCCTCTCACTCCTTTCTAGTCCCCCGTTGAATGTCATCATTGCCAGGTCCAGCATTGCATGAAAGTGCGAAGCTCCTTGCTCTGGTACGATCGTTTCGTGTAAAATTAGCTTGGAGTATCCGGGCTTCATAGCCTCTTTAACCGGCTTCAGTATCAGTAAAGACTGCTCATCGGACCAGTCGTGTAGGATGTGATGGTAGAAGTATGCTCTCGCGCCTATGAATACGTTAGCATCATATTGGGAGAATACAACGTAGGTCTCACCTTTGATGGGCTGTTCGGTGAAGAAGTTGTATATCGTCGGTTCAATTGCTGGAATCATGTTGCGTATGTTGGTAATTACCGGGGCCGAATCCTGTAGAATGAGACGTCCCTCTATATGAGGAAACCTTTCATGGAAGGAGATCAAATCGTGACCCTTCCCCCCACCGATATCTATCAGCAACACTGAGTCTTTGGTGATACCAGCCCCTGACACGAGTTCTTCTTCGACTGGAAACCAGTCGAACCAAAACTTCCTGTTTCCCATTGTGTTCCCCATGGCTAGATTGAAATCGTGCAAAAGCTGTGGGATTGAACTGAATAGGTCGAAAGTTGCAAGTTTCGTCTGAAAGGCATATTGTGTTAAGCCGTCTTTAGGGTCAATAGGGGATTTGTAGCCGGCTTCTTTGAAATATCTCGGTGCCTTGACTAGCGCCTGGATGACGCCGTCGTGTCTATATTGTGAGAAATTTAAGTTAAACCAGTATGTTCTCGCGCTCTCGTGCGTATTAGGAGGTGATATTGATAAAAAAGAATTTTCTTATGATTACTCACATCATCCTATGTGACGCGGCAATTTCCTCCCTGGCCATTTCCTTGGTGATGGGCGTTGCTATCCATGTACGCTCACCAACTTCTTCAACGAATCCTAGCGAAGACATGGGCCGAAGGATCCTGACTATTCAGTACATTAGCAATCCTCGTCCCCTTTCCTCTAGGTATTCTGTTCATTTTCACAAAACCTGATGAAAGGGGGTAAGGTCATACCGAGCAGTATTTCATCCGCACCCGATAATGCCGCCAACTCCTTGGAGGTAATTGGGCCGTCGTGGTCAGCGATGAGTTTGAAGATGTTAAGATCAACGGCGATCTTTGCGGAGACACTGAGGAATGGCTACTAGGTAGTAAGTTCACTATCTCCATAAATTCAATAACTGTCTAGGTTAATACCGTGTAGCATAGCTCTATTGCCGAGTTTTCTGGTTTCTCGATAGAAGCCGCGAGCTTTCGAGTTAATAGTAAGGCCTGCCTCCTGGCATCATCGTCGCCCTCTGACAACTTTGGGGAAAGACTGCTGAGATTTCCGATAAGAGTGTTAATCTGACTACTTTCAACGGAAGCCATTCTGCCAGAAACTAGTAAGTATATCTCGAGTTAGTACTTTGGTATAGCGTAGCTCTTTATAAGGATTATTTTGTGGAAAGTTTCCAGTAGGTTGTAATACAAGCCGTTCTATGTGCTCAGGTTACTCGGTTAGGTGGTGATAGAAATGGGTAATATGTATAGTGAAAGAGAGCAGAACGTTAGTAGAATATATTTTGATCCAGAGGTCTTAGCTTCTATGCGATCGTACTATAGTTCCTTTCCTATCTTATAGGTACCTATTTTATCATTAATGACACTTTCTGAGTTACATGCATTGATCAACCCCTCTTCTCCTCTACTCATCCGTCATTGCCGCTACCACCCTGTATGGTATCTTGACGTGTCTCCTTTCCCTTACCGGCACTTGTTCGAAACCGCACCCTTTCGCAGCCAGGTTGTCCTACCTTGGGTGTAGTAATAGATATCCAAGTACTTCAATTTTTGGAGCAGGATTCGCTAGGACATACCTACGGGAGAAAGTCGAATATTCCCGTGCGTAGCTTCGTATCGGCGGGGACGAACGTTTACGTTTTCCTTGGACGTACAGAACTTCTACATGGGCAGGTTCTACATAAGGTAATATTAAAATCTCATTTATACACTGTGTATTTCGTAAGTTGGAGTTGGAGAGTCAAAATTAGAATGCATTTCATAATGCCATCCAATAGAGAGTGTAGTTCATCTACCTGGAAATTGTCTCCGACCCCTTAAATTGCTACCGATCAACACGTTCGACTCGTATGTAGCAACGTTGGCCCGGGCCTATCGGGTATAATACTTACTCATTTCTATTAAAAATCTTGGCTATGCGGCGTTGTTGGTTGTCTCCCGAAGCTTAACCCCGAGTATCCCCGCTAATAACCCAAGTTGGAGGAAACAATCCCTTGCTTGGTTATGTTCGAGGTATCGCGTTTCGTTTCCTCTTCTTGCTTACAGTTTAGACTAGATATATCCCCTTAGATTCTACAAAACCTTGGACGATGGTTTTCCACATAAGTTTTGCAAGAGTAAATAAAGCCAATCGACATTTCACGGGAGACTTGATACTTGCTCGTTGCGGAATGCTACAACCGGTTTAAGCCAATGATATTCAAGAGTGGATTTGTGAGTCTTGTAAGGACTTAGAGAGGGTAACAGCGAGTATTACATGCAGCCTCTTCAAACCACTCGTTGGTCTATAAGGTTCAAGTGGATCACCGCCTATAGATACCCATTGGCAGACCCTTAACATCCAGCTGCCGATGCATACAACTACATAATGTACGCGCCGGGAGCTAAGCTGAACCAACCCCGGACTCTGACAAATGTGACAACTTATCTGACAAACTTATTACGCATGCGTAATTCCGACCCCGAAGCCGACTCCCACACTCTCTAACCCCCGAGACCACTAGGCATACTGAGGAGGAGTGCAGTAATATACACGACCGCCTTTCGATCAGGTGTTTACGTTAGCACCCGATGGTAATAACTGCGGGTGATGTCGTATTTCCAAAGTGACCCCGGCATTAGAGCCCGGGGGCGAACCCCCAGGTTATCCGAAAACGGCTTGCGCGGCATCAAGTTTTAGAAAATACCGGCCGTACTATGCCCCAGATACTACCGACATCGTATACCGCGATTTCGTATGGGTACAGTCGAAAGTGTTGGAGTTACGGACATCCAAATCGGATGGCCTTGAAGTTGCCACCTCCGTCATACAGAACGTATATATGGGCGTATGTACACTACCAATTTCTTTCTCGCTGATATAAACATTAGTAAAATTCTGCAGAAAGCTAGCTAGCTAATTATTCTACCTTTTATGGAAATATTGCACAGGAATGAGCATTAGGTAAATACAGGCCTGTTTAGAAAGTAGCGAAAGGCCGATATGCTCCAAAGGGGTCTCAACCATGGTTGGCTCGGTTGGTAGGAGTGATAGCCGCAAAGGCTAGGGCATCCTATTCTAAATATCTAAGCTATTCCCGTAACCCCACGTTGGCAGTTATAAATCAACTGCTCCAGACGTCACCTTTACGTCGAACCCCAGCTAGCCAGCCAATCTCCTGCTATTATGCATTCCTGTCATGAGGAGCAATGCGTGATTACCGTGCAGCTTGCAGGACGTTTCTCTAAATCGTCCTTTGGCTTAAATAGTTCCCTTGTTAGACACTTTTAGAAGCCAAGCTTCGTGACCTGACAAATGACCTGAGAAATCAGCAGTTGTCTAAGTCGAAGCCTCGAGATGACAACAGTATGTTGTATTTATTCTTAGACACAAGACAGCGGACAGCTCCCGGCATGGCGAGTGACGTGATCTTAGAATGATCATCTCCCATAAAGACATGCTAGCTGTTGGGTATCTCATGTATAATGCATTAGTTAGTTAGGTAGTCATTACATGTAGTATACAAGCGAATTGCTTATTTCTCCGGTTCTAACTTTTGCGGAATAAGGTGTTCGGCCATGCTGATGGCACCCTCCATGTCATTTTTGTTGAACAGGAAAAGGCCTTGAATAGCAGCAGTGCTAGTTCGAGGGAGCGACTCGCCTTCCTTCGCGTTGCGAAAGAGCCCCAAGTCATCGAGTCGCTTCAAGAACCTTTCCCGATGGGTACCATCAACGTCGACGTCACCATAAAATCTGTCCCACATCTGGGCAGCTTGATACCTGGTTGCTTCGCCTATGCGAACCATCATATCCACCCGGCCCGGCCTAATCAGAGCTGGATCCAGAAGTTCGACATGATTGGTAGTGAGGAATGCAAGTCGCTCTTCCCCCGCAGATAATCCGTCTAGAGCATTCAATAGCCCGGAGAACGTCACCGTCCCGCCGCTGTATCCATCTGCCTCACGCTTCCTCCGGTTGACAAATGCGGAGTCAGCATCTTCTAGTAGGAGAATAGTCCGCTCTGGAAGCTTGGTAAGAAGAAAGGCGAGCTTATCATCTGTCACTCCGATCTCGCTAAGATTAACCATGGCCACACTGAAATCCAGTTCACCAGCCAGCGCCTGAATGAACGAACTCTTGCCACTTCCCGGCGGACCGTATAGGAGATATCCTCTACGATATGGGATTCCGCGATCCACATACCATTGTCGTCGGGCGAGAAAGTCCTTGGCATCGTTGACTATGTCTTCTTTAATACCTTGATCCAAGATGACACTGCCTAAAGGCCGCTTTCTCCGAGGCTCCCCAAGTGGAACCCAATCGAAATTTCGCACCGAATACACTACAGTCTTCCCCTCGTTTGCTTGGAGTGCAAGACCCCGAGCCTCGGCGAAAATATCTTCGAAAATGTGTCGATGCGCATATAAAGTAGTAAGTTCTACTGTCTCATGGGGCTCGCCGGTATTTGTCTTCGATGTTGCATGTTTCTCCCTATTTACGGCGATGTACGCATGCTTGTACTTCACAATATGACGGCCGTATCCAGGCTGTAGAAAGAAGCTGGCTTTGGTGGCGCCGTTTGGAGTAGAGCTAGTGGACGTAGTGACAGACAGCTTGTTGATGCGCGTCAACTTCTTCGCAATTAAAGAAGTTTGTTCACGAGGTTGTGATAACCAGGCAAGGACCCAAGGATAAGACGGGTCTTGCCTACTAATTTCGACATTAACAAGCATACGACGCCGAATCATACCAGCTGTAGCCAATGCGCCTCGGCGAGCGAACGCCAGAGCGGCGCCAAGAGACGCAAGGCCAAAGCCTCCGGCAAAAACGGGATTTTCAAGCAGCGCATTGAGGTTTAGAAACGACTGCGCTGCTGCAGGATCCGACATGACGCTTCTAGGAAGCTTAAGATGAACTTGACGACATTTTTTGAGAGAATCGATATGGCCTCAAAAAATTGTGCTGACTAATTTAATACTGCCGTTGTTTTACCGGCCACTATAATTTCTTCCCTTTTGAACGATATTACCTTTAAACAACTTAAACCATTGCGTTTTTACCGGGTATTGATGCGTTAACGGGGCGCTGTGCTCAAACTCTCCCCCCTTTATCTCCTAAATACCTCACTACATGTAGTAAAGACTCATGACGTTACATTAAACTTATCTGATCCGTCACTACCTATGCATGCATCAACACTATGTTAACTTCTAGTTAGTCCAGGGCTAATCATGAAGTCATCAAAATTAAGGCGTCAGTATGACGACTTAGACTAATTCAGTTATAACAACAATCAAACGACTCCATAGTCACATAGAAAGGCACTCTCTATTTAACTAGTTGCCCGTAAAAGTCATAATCATAGCTAAATTAACCCTACTGTTCGGCCTTCAAAGCATTTACTATAATAACAAACCAATATGCCTTCCGGAACTGAAAACGCGAAACAACAATTCATGAGCGGTGTTGAAAAAACCAGGGCTGCTGCTGATGGTGCATTGTTTCCCATTCTCGTATTAAAGCTCAGTTACTAATACGAGTTTAGATAATTCGAAGCAGAATAGCCTCAACACTCAGTCAGCCTCAGGAGGCGACAATCCAAAGGCTGGAGGATCCTCGTTCAGATCCATTGCCAAGGGTGACACTAATTCATCGAACTACGTCCCTGCGAAAGGACCATCAACCTAGGACTTTTATAAAAGTTGCTTGATCTTACAATGCTGTATGTAGGATATAGATAATGTTTTTGAATTAATAATATAAACTATTAATACTTGATCGAGTTAAACGCCCAGAATAAGTAGTCTCTAGAATATGCTCTTTTACGCATCTGTCAGGGTATAAGTGAAACTAGTATAAATTAGGTATAGATCTACATAGGATAGATATATGAGGCACGCAGCGCCCTCGTAAGAATGGTAAAGAGTTGGATAAAATGGATTGTAGCAGTCGAATGGACAAATGAAATAGCCAAGCTAATACTGGATGTATCTTGTTACACATGTTCAATAACGAGATACATAAATGCCGTATTATCCTAACCTTTCAACAGACCTAGGTATCGGTCATCAAGGTTCTGGCAATAGATACTAAAATATATAGCATAGTTCAAGCCGATAGTCACCATCATCATACCTCAAGTACCTAACTAGGTACACATTTCCTAATTTCGTTTCGATATCATATAATGAATGCGCTTCGAAACTTGGGGGATCTTACTTCGAACTAGATTATCTACCTCCTTTAAAGATAGGTATTATTAAGGATGGGGAGGAATAACTTTTCAGAAATCTCAATGATTTCACGATCAAGTTATTAAAAAATCAGTCACGTACTGAAATATTCCGAGACAATATATAAGGAACTCATAGACCCGTCACGTTTTTATAGGGACTAATCCTGGCAGCAGAGCCCTTTGGTGTAGCTGTTCTTAAATTACAACGCCGCGCTGGATACCACCGATATATCCCTATATTTAACATATAATCTCTTTACGGGTCTAGACTTAGGTAGGATAGAATCCCGTGATCAATATCTCTTATATATTCGTACATAATGTGGCCGCGTCTCTACAGGGGTACTACAGCTGTGCAATAAGGTATTATCACACCATCTACCGCAAGATCACGGCGTCTCTTCGGAAGCATACCTATATGTAGCGTAAAACTACTTGCGCTATCTGCATAAAAAGAGTCGTGCCGTCCTTCTTCGCTTGCGCTTCGTCCGAGATGCATCTAGCTCTCTGCATTTAAGACGTCATCATAGGGATTTGGAATTCTTAACCAGGTTTCAAATTTGAACCGTTTCCAGTAAATTTCTTTTCGTTCCCAAATAGCATCGTTACGATCCCCGTCTCCAGACATGGTGTCGAAAAGTTCCGGCCGGGTGTGATCTCGTGGGTAATCGCATACTCTACCTCTCGGCCAATCCGATATCTATCACATGGAAAACAGCCGGCGCCAGAGAACATCTACCGGGATAGAGTACTTTATTTACTAAATTCGTCCTCTTCGTGCAAGGTGTACCAGGCCATTCCCATGCCAGATGTTGCCTTTAAGGCTCCCTTCTACGACCCCAGCCAATCAATTATGAGCCTCAAGGTTGGACTGATACTATTCGGGCAAGGCACTCTCGGGCTAGGTAGCACTGAGTCTTAAAGTAGTAATTTACTATAGTAGATCCGTTTATACCTAAAATATCCCTAGGTAGTACCAATGTATCCTCTCATTGTGTCCTTCAAGCCCTCTCTTCATATCTGTTGGGCACTATCCTACTTGTAACCAGCATAAACAAGAAGATTCCTAATAAATAAGAGAGTCATGTATCTTAATTTACGGGGAATTAATCTACCGTACTTCCATTGTAATCTTGTCCAGCTTCCTAAAACTTATACGCGGACCAGGAGTTGGTCACTTCCCGGCAAAATTCAATCTGGCTAAATGACAACTACGTTCCACACTTAATCTCAGAACTGTTAACCATTCGACGATGTATTTATAACTCTCTCGGTCTAGAGGACTCGATCCCCTGCTATGTACCCCAGAGGATGAGCGAGCACATGGCTAAGAGATATGTGGTATTGTCGGCAATTGTGGCCTTCGGCGCTCAGGAGACGAGCCCATGGACGTGGGATGCGACATAAATCTCCTCCATTACCCCCCTCCTTAGGTCGTCCAGAGCTGTTTTAATCTTGAGGTGTTTTTGAATAGACTTGGGATCGACAGCCTGCTGTATTGCTTCGAAAAGGTTGCCAGTACCAAAATGCAGTTGACAAACCTCGTACTCCTTGCCGCCGCGGGCATCGCGCCCAGCGTCAACGCAGCCGCGACTCTTCGTTTCTCGTGCTCGCAGCTTGTCGTCGAACGCCTAGACCCGTAAGCAAGAATTCGACTCCGAATTAGAGAATTTTTTCTAACAACCTTATTCTTAGTCTTGTCAACCCTGGAGAGAACCCGTCCCCTCATCTTCACCAGGTTGTCGGAGGAAATGCCTTCAATGTCAGCATGGACCCTAACGTACACGACCTGCCTTCAACAGCAACATGCACTTCCTGCACACCAGTTGAGGATCTCTCCAACTACTGGACCGCCGTTCTCTTCTTCAAGTATGACGAGCGACTTTTACTTATTTCTAATTTACCGGAGTAGTGACATAACCATGAATCAGAATTATCATTAAAATTCAACCCAACTTTGAGATGGCATAATGTTGCATACTAACAGTTCTCTTCTCAGGGCGAGGAACGGAACGCTACACCGTGTAAACACCTTCGGAAACGAGCTCGGTTACACAGGTGCCAACGGCGGTCAGACCGTCTACTATCTCTCGTCGGGCAAGGTGACTGCTTTCAAGCCCGGATTCCGCATGACAGTCGGAGATCCATCCATCCGCACTGCTGAGGAACTTAACCGGAGGTACAAGTACATGGACTTCACTTGCCTTGCCTCCTCCATGACTCGAGGTGGTCAGACCACGTACTTCCCCAAGCAGCCATGTGCGGCCGGTATCATGGTTAGCATCCGCTTCCCAACGTAAGTGCCCATCACCCCTTACCTCAGAAGCAATAATAACTTACCGACCCCCTTTACAGCTGCTGGGATGGCAAGAACGTAGACAGCCCCGACCACCAGAGCCACGTCGCTTACCCCAACGGCAACGCATGCCCATCAACTCACCCGGTCACGATCCCCCAGGTCTTCTACGAAACTTACTGGGACACCCGACCCTTCAACAACAAGGCAGAATGGCCCGCCGACGGATCTCAGCCTTTCGTCTGGTCCTTCGGTGACCAGACCGGCTACGGCATCCACGGTGATTACGTCTTCGGCTGGAAGGGTGACGCTCTCCAGCGTGCTATGGATGCCAACTGCAACAGTGACCTGTTCGCCAACCAGATCAACTGCCCTACCCTCCAGACCCAATCCCTCGACCAGGCCAACAAATGCACGAAGACGAAGACCGTCACCGAGAACCTCGACGGCTGGCTCCAGGAGCTTCCTGGTGGAATGCCCATTAGCTAAAGGAATTTCTCTAAACGGGAGTGTTGCTCAAGGGATGTGAAGGCGCTTTGAGGGAGCCAGAGTTGTCATCAGCTTTTTGCTTCCTTGGCGCAAGACAGTTCTTCAAGCCTTATACCTAATAGTTGATTGTTTTATATACCTAGCTGAATAGAATAAATCCCTCGCCATAAACCCAAGTCAACCAAGTTTGATTTAAGCCTTTAGTAATCATGTAGTCGCAGTCATATCAGCTGTCTCTACCACGTTATAAGGTCTTAAGGATTATATCACCAAGCATCAAGTCACTGACCTCGCCGAGACTTCACAGATATTGCATTTCATCAGTAATTTGATAAGCTCCAGTCATAAACACTACCAACTGCGCAATAATAATCAGCCTCCGCACATCGTATGCCGTCTCCCTTGAAACTCCTGCTCCCACACGCCAGACGAGCAAAAATATAATGCTGCATCAGCCGCGAATCGAACGCGGGGCCCATCGATGGCAACGATGGATTTTACCACTAAACCACTGATGCTTATTGGATTGCTCCTTGGATTGCTCCTTGGATTGCTCCTTGATGAAATTCTGACTTGCAATATTTTCCTATATTTTTGGTGTGCGTTCTCCACTGCCGTAGGACCCATTCTTCGCCCTATTGTTAAGTTGAACTAGCACTTTCCGAGCAGTCAGGGCCCTATTCGGCCCGTTCTAGATCGTCAATTTGAACATAACTAGGAGAGCTAGGCAATGGCTAAATACACTCGTTTCCCAAGAATCTTGCGGGTTTAGTCTGTTAGGTATTTATCTAAGGTAACATAGAATATCTTATGTACTAGCAATTTAGACCTTCAAGCAGTCGGTATGTATCATTGTCGCTCCATCTGTGTGAGGATACAAGCAAGAAGTGAGAACACGGGTCTATTGAAGCGCGATGAACTATAAACCCAACTGAGACTAGACGACTGATATAGCTAAGAACTATTTGCCCCATGTCTCAGAGTAGCAAGCATGGTCGTTCCGCATTGAATAGCATGCTCTGACGCATAGCCTCAGCTCATACGTCGGTACGGAGACTATTGCTAACTGTCAGAGGTTGATTAGGGCCAAAGTATTCGTGAGGGATGATTTGCAAATCACCTCGGGGGAGAGGTGTTAGCCGCCTGTCCCCCTCCCCGGGAATGTGTGTGTACGACAGAGTTGCTTGTAAATTTGCCGTGCAGATTGAGACTTGAGAATCCAGTGTCCCTTTTCCACCGCTCCTGTATGTGCCTCTTGTATTGGTGACTGCCCTAGGGTTCTCAATTATACAGACTAAAGGATTGTTAGTTGACACTTAATATAATTATAAGACTTAGAAAGCAATAACATACTCGAAGAGGTTGGAAAGATACTTACATAAAACCTCGGGATGCCCTTTTACTAAGCCTTAGTTTCAAATGAGTCGTTGAATTTCTTATCAGGTATATTAGGTGTTCGATAAGTTCCTCAATCCAGTTACATTCATTGCCAATATCCATGATTTTGAGCATTCGCGATCTTGTGTTTCGATGGATCCCTGTGCTGCTGGGTTGGACATGCATCTAGCAATCCGCTAGCGCCGTGGCCACTTTCTTCGCGTCGAACCACGAACGTGGTCCTGCAATAGGTACCTAGGTAAGTTAGGTAATCATGTCAGATGTATACAGGACGTTAAATCTGAATCCCCGCCAATGAGTTTACACCCGTAGTAATGAAGTGTAGGCATGTTTTTGTTATGTTGTTCCTGTGGCGTTTTTGTTGTGTTGATGTTGGTGTCGGTGTTATAAAAGTTTTAATAGAGACCTCGTCACGTTGAGCTTAGATGCCTTAACGGTATGTCTTACACCCTGGTTGCTAGTATCTCCGATTTCGCTTGTGAATCAGATTTAACATTTATGTTTAACAGTATGGCTGATTAGACTTCAAGCACTAGAAAAACGGCTTGTTCGATTATCGAAGATGTTGCGGGGTGGTAAGATGGCGGAGGCTGGGTCTAATAGATATAGAGAAGTAAGGGTAATTATTTTGTGCCTTGCTGAAGTTGGGTAGATTAAATGGTTGGGTAATAATTAGAGGGGTTTTCAGGATTATGTATGATGAAGCTTGAAGAAAGAACGGTCAGTCTTTAGAATCGAATGCGAACTTTACTGTTGGAGGGTCAACGCGAACCTTAAGATTGAGTCACTTTTAGGTTTTTCTGTATTTCTTGGAGACATGCTTTCCCGCTCAATGGGTACATAGGTAAATAAAAAGAGAAGAAAGAAGGAGCGAAAGCTGTCCAATGTAGATTGTCTGGCAGTTGCACCACAATCGCCATTACGTCTACCTAAAATAGCATAACAACTGTCCTTCCCCCTTTCCTAAGATTATTACATAAATGGAAGCTTCGATTCTCGTTACCTCATTTTGATATTACATTGTCCAAAGCTAAAGCTGTCTGAGGCAAGTGCTTGTATAATTGTTCATTGAAGATTACTTACACGTACTTAGGTACATGTAGTTAGCTCCTTCTATGTATAGGTACTCACAAGCTTATTTAGGAGGTAGCCTTTGGAACTATCGTCACAACTCTTAGAAATCATACGAGACTAAATAACTTAGAAAGGTGTAACGGAAAAGCATCTTCTTTCATATACACATTCCGTATTGTAGAATAGATATACTTCATACCAGGGTTAGGTAGGTAAGGTTAGATACGTGTATGTATTTAGTAACAATCTCTAGTAAACGGCAGAAAAGGGGCAAACCTCTCCCCTAAGACAACAATTACAAGTGTACATGACCTCAATGACCATAGGCATTACAGTACATACATAAGAACAATATATCTTGCAGGAATAAATCATGTAAAGACAATATTCAAACAGCCGACTCGAGAAACTTATGCTAATGAATGCTAATGAATGCCCATCTAATGCTAAGATACAGTACGCCAACCGAAGCCGTTCGAGTTTTTATCGAACGTGATCCCAACCGTACGCCATGCATTTCTGCCGATGTAAACCTCCCTAACCCAAGTTGCCATGCATTTTGCACCCGCAATGAATCCGCCTGCTAAATTTACAATCATCTAACCAGCCGGCATTGTCCATTCGACGAAACTTCGACTCGCCAGCATTGCGTAGCTCGAGGAGCGTACACCTGAATGCTGCTATCTGATTTGACTAGCTGTCTGCCCCAACGACTCTATGTAGAGACCTTCAGCGGGGGTCCTAGTGCCATTGGCGAGGACTTCTCTGGCGTATCTTTTTGTAGCGTCTCTTCACCGGATTCAGCGGTCGACGAGGTTTGATTCAGTTGCGATGTGCTAGTAATATTGGCAAGTGCAGAGCTTGCTGATCGAGTGAGCGTCTTATTCCCCTTAGCCTTAGTTGGCACATTCTCCTTCGTATCCTTCTCGTTTTCCTGAGAGCTTGAAATAGGTCGTAGCGTTGGTCGTCGGGCAGCTCTTCTACCTCGCCCAAAGGAATCTGAACTTCGCAAGAAATATTCTTCTTCATCGGAAGAGTCAAAATCGGCAGTGGGCGTTGGTCGTACTCGACGGCTTCTCTGCTTTGTAGTCGCATCAGAAGTGTCTGAAGACTCTATCGATAGGCTCCTGCTCCTTGTCCTTCGGTGGCTATGGTGTTTTCGGCTCGATGTATTTTTCCTCGTAACGGTCTTATGGAGTGTCGAAGTCGATTCGAAATCTGTCGGTAACTCGCCGCTCTTAAGTTTAGCCTCTACTGCCCTCTCGTGAACTAGCCGGCTTAAGCTAGGCGCATCGCTCATCGTCGTCTTACGACTGACGTGGCTAGCCATGCTTCCACTTCTACTAACAGGCACTTTGCCTTCCATGACCTTCGCAGGCGGCGGCGGCTGCAACATCCACATAGTGGCGTTTTTGTTCGTAGGCTTCTGTCGCACAATCGGGGGATGATATTCGTTGACAGGAGGGTTCCTCGGCGCGAAATAGAAGTTATGTCTGTCTTCCTCAGTAACCGACTTCGGTTCCATCCCTAATCTTGTTTCCAGAAGTCGACCGGCTGATGATCCCGCCTGCTTAATCGCGTCCATCAGCTTATGACCTGTACGGGACAGCTCATGACCCCATAACTCTTCATCTTCCCTCTGGTAACGCTTTCGGTTCCAGTCGTCCGATAGGGTAGTTGAAAAACTGAGCTTGCCGTCTTCCGCCACGGCAGTATGACTACTTACCGGGCTCGTGCTGTCGACCTGCGTACTGCTTTCGGCAACGCTTATAGTTTCCTTGCCGGAACTACTCAAGCGCTTCTGACTGCTACTTTTACCATTGCCGCCGGTATACTTCTTTGACTGTATTCTCGGGCCCATCATTATTTCCTCCGACCAGTACGGATTTGTATTGAAAGGGTCCGGGTGTCGGTATGATTTAGGGTTCTCAGCCTGGAAGCGCGCTTTCACCTCACGCTCCTTCTTGGCCAGCGCCTTGGATTGTTGGTGATGCCTTGCCTGAAGACATGGTGCACATGAGACGACGTAGAATATGGCAGATTGGACAGCAACGCCGAACGACATGATAGATATGGGGTGTTTTCTCCGTAGGGGGGTAGAATGTACAGGTGCCTATCGAGGCTTATATCGAAGACAAGAGAGCTACCATTGGCAACAGCATTGGCGAGAGTGATTTAAGGTACTTCGTCGAGGGTAATCTAGAAGTCGTATCGAGAGTTTTAAGTTCGGTAAATGGGAAAAGGTTCGCAGAGAAAGCGGCGTCACACGTAAAACTGAGTTTAACTAAGAAGACAAGACAAGTTTAATTCTGAGTTTCGTCAAGCTTAAGCTAGACAGAATACAAGCTTGTCTCTTTAGTATGCCGAGCTGAGGAAAGTTCGTCGGTATGGAGAATAAATAAGTACGTGGATCGTTGACTTCCAAGACGCGGTTGCTCGTGAGATAACCGCACAAGGAAAAGGGGGCAAGGTTGATTGCTAGAGGGTTCGGTGAGATGTAAAAATCACTCAATTGGGTTATGAGACTTGAAAGTCATAGGTTGGACAAGTTGATGCTTGAGCAACCCAAGTAGAAATGAACGTGGAGACTAGTCTGGTAGAGTAGTAGAGCAAACAAGTATCCTGTTAGTAGTAGTAGAGGTCGTTATGTGGTATCCAGGCGAGAAAATAACCAATACAATTGAATAATAATACGCTCAGTCGACAGATAAAAAGGTCTTGATTTACAACGATAAAAACGAAGAAACAAGACTTGGAGCCGCCGCCGGCAACGAACGGGAATAATTAACGGAAGGGAAGTAAATGAGTGGAGGGAATTCGGAAAGTGAATTCAGGATTCGATGTAAACTGCGTAAACTACAGTTGGCGATGGGCAAATGGTGTGGACGATCCCACGCTCTGCTGCATTTGCCTGCATGCTAATGTACCTGTGTAGAATGTATAATGCAGAGCAGATGGTGATTAAACCAATCATATCGGACGGAGAAATGGGGGTTTGCCTAATTACGCTCATCCCGTTTCAACGCCACAGCTTGGCTTTGTTCACAGAGCAGGGATTATGGTAATACAACCCCTGTAAGTGCAGTAAGTATTCTCCAAGTGCTACTCTAATTAACCCCGTATCTTTGTGGCATACCGCTAATTCAACGCTGCTGAACCATTGCTGAACCATGCTGAACCACAGAAGGTGGGGTTCATCGCCTGATAGTCTCCGCAGTGCCCGCTAATCCATGTAGCCCACGCCGCCCACGATCCACCATTGTGGCACATTCATTTGCGCATACGTCGCTGCTAATGGCTGGCCTCGCTTGCTAGGAGCCTTTTTCAGGTCCGGGCGTTCAGCCCCTCGTTTTGATCCTCGAATTGGAATTTGGATAATCCCTCGCTTAGTGTACATAGTAACATGCCTGCACAATCTCACGTTTTACCCTGGGTTTCTGCATAGTCTGATATGTAGTCTACATAACTCCCCGCACAGCATCTCCAGGAACCATGTAACTCCCGCATCTGATAATAAACCAAAAACATGCATAATGACCCGCCATTAAGAGCCCAAAAATTTGATCTAAGATCACTTAATAACTGCCTAGGCAGCTCGATGCGGGAGGGGGGAGTATACAAATATGTATTCGCCTATCTTTAATTTACACGTATACATGTGTGATTGAATACGGCTGCCTATCTGGTTGAATAACGGCTCAGCCATGATGACTGGCCATTGATGACGATAATAATCGTAATGGCTATGATGACCACACGTCAGAAGCTTAGTGATCCAAGATTTTCCCCTCTACATACTATGTATGCAAGGATCGTCTACTTCCACAGCAGCCATAGTCACGAAATACCAAATATGTGTTGATGCATCTGCTTATGGGACGCCGAGACATACGTACATACAAATTCATACTTATACCAAACATGTTTCCTTGACGCCACGTAGCAATAACTTGGTATATTCGAATCACTCAACTAAGTCGAGTAGTTCAAGTATATCAGGCTAAACACTATTTGCCTACAACGGCAGAGCAAAGAACATATGTATATCTAATAGTTAGATCTTATTAGTTTTGCCTTGATTATTTCCTTACATTGTGAGGGGAAAGTTGTCACACGTGGGCCTTATCTATCATCTTTCGTTAACCCTTGAGCCTCTATCATGGTTATACCTTTTAATAATGATCGATCGTTCTTGTTAAGTAAGGCCAAGACTAATATCAGACATACCAATCCACCACACGTCTACTTATATAACAGAAACGTATTAAATGTGTCTTTTGTTACACCAAAAGAACTCACCCAAAGCTCTAATAGTTTACATACCTAATATATAAACCCTACAATCCTTAGACGGCTATGTACACTAGTTGTGTAACAAACCTAAAGTCTAGAATGTATGACAAATACCGAAACACTTGTCCTGCGATGTGAGGTAGGAAACTTACCCAGAAGGGATGCCACCCTAGAACAGTTGATGCAATGCTACATGCACATGCTGAATGCAAAGAGAGGGAGCCCTATTCAACGAAATTTCTTGGTAGGGTGTTGTACTTAACATGTTGCCGTGACGTACATTCTCTATCTCTTACGATAATGGTGAGTTAGTTCATCGACGTCCCGTAAGATTGCTAAGACAGGTATCTACCTAAAGGTTTATCGAGTAAAATAGAAGTATGTGCCTCTGTTTGGTACAGGATAGGGCATAAGAACAGTGAGTTATTTAGACAACCACCTCTACGTGGCAGCAATTCCCCATAATTTCTACCCAAATGAAAGCATGAACATTGGACTGGTAAACTCTACAACTTTGGGAATTCAATTTGTTGAAATAATTAGGTAAAACAAAGGTACGGAAAATATTGGGATTTTCTCTCTCAGAAGCCGACTTGTATTATATCTATCCTTGACTTGGATCTTCAATTTCTCTCTAGAGAAGACGCCCTTGACTGGCTTTAAATTTGCTCATAATCTATGAAAGTGGTTAATCAATAGGACAGACATGAACTACTAACACATGCCTTAGCATGGAATCAAGGTGGTTCCCTCATGTTTTTTTACTACGCACAATACAAGCTGCAAGTCACTCTCACTGACAAAGTCTTTGAGGGAAGGTTGACAAGATAACATGAACACAGAGAAAATGAAAGTATACGCATTCATTGAGCTATTTGAATCTATAGCCACTACAACTAAGAAATAACGACGCCCGGTATTCGTCCCCCTATAGTGGACTTGAAAACATTGGTACAGTCTCCGGCTACGAGTCGTAGTCGTCAGGCAACGGGTAATTCTGTACGTCTGTATAATAACGAGCTGCAATTATCAGGAAAGAAAAATCATAAGTCACTAATACAAAGCAAGGACGACCAATTCTGCGTTTTCTCAGGGAAACGGCAAGAGGAACGTCCGTCTTGCAATCCAAGTCCAAGCCCGTTTTTTCATAAGCAATATTCGATGTCCATGTGCATAATGGGATTCGATACGGTGTGATGTGTTGAGGAAAATACTGTACAACAGCAATATTGACCGTTGGTGGAGAAGAAGGTGTGAGGTGTGGTGGTGGTGATGGTGGTGATGGTGGTGGTCGAGTCTATGCAATATTCACAGCAGACAAAAATGTATAAAGAAGTGAAGATGGACGCCCCTGAGACACCCACAACATGATATTCTTAACATATCATACGTCCCATTCTTTTTCTTCATCATTATCATCTGTCTCCTCGGGAGTCAGGGCAGCAAAAGAAGAGTTGCTGCTGGTCAGGATCGGCTTCTTGGTGCCATTGACTGGAGCTGGAGTCTTGACAGCGGGGGTGCTTGTGGCGCTACGACCGTTGGTAGCCGGAGCAGAGGGAGCCGACACATCAGAGGAGGCATCCTTCTTCTTTCCCTTCTTTTTGGTCTTGACCTCGCTCCACGAATCCTCTTGGCGGAGCAGCTCCATCTGCTCTTCCTCCGAAGGCATGCCGGACAACCAGGGGTCAGACTTCTTAGTAGGTCCGGCAGCGCTCACAGTGCTCACAGTGCTTACAGTGCTCGGCTTTGTGGGTTCAACCTTGGCTTGTTGCTCGAAAGTGTCAAGGGGTTGGACCGTGCTGTTTTTGTTGGTGGATTTTTCATTCCAGGCATTTTGGGCACTGGCTGTGAAGCTCGAGCCGTCCTTAGCGGGTCGTCCCTCGGCAATACGAGCAGTTCGTCTCTGTTGCTCCAGCTTAACCTTGCGCTCCTTTTCCTCTTCCTCACGGGCAGCTTTAGCAGCCTCGGCCTTCTTTCGGTTCTGGCGTTGCTTCTTGGTCTCAACAACTTCGGGTGCCTTTTGCTTTCGCTCCTTAGGCTTCACAGAATCGGTGTCAGTAAGACGGAGGACGGAAGGGCCAGATGCGACAGGCTCGAGCATATCGGATACATCACGACCGTCAACGGCTCCAACTACAGGAGAGGCTTGGGACGATAGATCATCATCAGCATCGCCCGCGTGTGAGGAAGGGACAGATGCCTTTCCAGCTGATGCATCTGGAATCTCTTGAGCTTTAGACTGCTTGACAGACTTCTGCTTCTTATCGTCAGACTTCTTGGTGCTGAATTTGGTTCCTGCGTGGGTATTGGATAATTGACGAGCAAATTCACGGTCGGCTTTCTTGCTAGTAGCTTCGTCCTCGTCTCGATTGAAATTGACATTAGGTGTAGTGGGTTCGTTCGATGTGGTCGTTGGAGCTTTCGGCTTGGGCTTGGGCTTCGCAACCTTTTCAACCTTCTTCTTGGTATCGCTTACTAGATCGGTATCGGTTTGTCTTCCCGATTGTTTGGTGAAGGAGCCACGGCGAACCGTCCTCTGAGTCTTCTTTTGCTGGTTCCGGTACCAGATAACTCCGCTGATCGCCAAAATGACCACCCATCCGCCAATAGTGGTGAGGGTCGAGTGGCTAGTGGAAATATCCATTATGAACCGAAATTATAGAGGGCGCTCCTCTATAAGATTTGCCGACTAGGTTGAAGTAACAGTGGAGGTAAAGGAGATTGATGGCAGCACCAAGTGCCTTGATGCGAAGGTGTCTCAACGATGCTCAATCGTGCGTGGACGTGCTTCGCAAGACACTACCTAGGTAATTGTACGTAGATCTTTGGGGAGCTAAACCAGTGAGGGAAGGTAGTGCGCCGATTATGTCGAGCAGTGCACTGTATATTTATAATACCAGTTAAGAAAGAGTGTGGAAGTAATGCAGCTGGGGACGAAGGATGAACATTGAACGATGCAAGCTCAGCTGAACCAGAAACAGATGATTCAGTGCTGATTTTATTAAATAACAAGGTATTTCTTTTTTCTTGACCGAAGAAAAACTTGTTATATAATATGAGAAGGTAAGATAGTTGACAAAGTGAACGTGATTTTGCACTGCACTGCACTGCTGCACAGAGGTAGTCTGTTCAGGTTTCGGCAATGGGATGAATTGACTGATGGCTGATGGGTTGATGGTGTAGGGGAATTTGGATTTGGGATAAGCTGTCATTAACAGTTATGTATTGACCAATCGGCGTAAAGTACAGACTTGTACCTTAGATGTGGTATGAGCACCTGGGCACTGAAGTATGGAAGTCTAGAAGGAGAAGGTTATCCTACCAGCCCGTGTAAAGGGGTTCAATGTTGAACAGCTGTCCAATACAAGTACACTAAAGTACCTGCACTAAGTACAACTGATGGTGAGTCCCCACTTAATGTACATCTGCTTTACGTATCGCCTTATCCCGTTACTGTATTAGCGTCTCATCAAATTCAATTGTAGACGTGGAAAAGCCCCTTAAAATTGACGAAATAGACGAAATAGAAATTCTATTTGCTTGGCCGTAAAGTTGCTGAGCGACCTTACGGCTAGCATAATTCTATGCTCGTATGTGACTGAGCAATTGATAGATTTGATTTGATACTTGATACGGGATAAAAATATGTGAAAAGCGTAAGAAAGTTCGGTTGGTCAAAAACTCCCGTGATGCAGCTACTTCCATACCCTCCTTTACTATGAAAAATGTGTTCAGCCCGCATAGGTAGGTAAACATGCAGGTCTAGATCTAATACCAAGATTTATATTTCTTCTTTGTTCAAGTATTTCCGTGAAGTGGCTAGTTTTGGGTTTGATATCTAAAGCTGATGCCGCCATCCGATTCAGATAACCCTCTTGTAAGGCTGACAAGCTTCCTGAATCTCAGATATGAATCAACCAACTATTACTTAGATCGACTTTCACTGGTTTCTAAATCTGCGTGCATACCTTGCGTACTTAATGCAAGTGAATATTTCAAATTGACATGTCAAGCTTTCAAGAAGCTAAAATATGCATCAATTTATAAAACAGTAACACTCGGTGATGTGTGGTTCTCATGCATTTATATAATTCTTTGATATGGTGGATTTGTTACATGCTGGCTCCTTGAAAAGGTTTAAAGAAATCTATATATCACTAAGTTTCCCTTGCATCTTCTTTTAACATTAGGAAATACCTAGTTAGGCTAAGTGTTTTACTTGAATTTATTTAATACAATCGGTTTGATAGTTTATTGCAAGCAACCTTTGATGGAAAACTTCAAACGTTAGAAAGTATGCGAGTATGCGGAAGCTGGCGGTGTGTGTATATGATCTCCGCTTTCCGGTAGACGGAGACTAGCGGGATCGTCTCCCCCGCAGGTCACCGACGGCAGGAACCCTTAGGGTCGCGTCACACAGCAGACTTTAGGTATTAAGAATAAGTGTTTATCCTACCTACACCATCTACCGATCAATATAAAACTACCGATCAATATAAAAATCATACTACATAAATCGCTCAAAC